TTTGAGTCCCGTTCCGGGCCGTTTTTTTCTCCCAGCGGTTCTAAATTATTTAAATTAATTAATTTATTTATAATTATTAATATTAATAAGAGATGGCGCCTAACGCTTACCTCTAGTGCCAAATTGATTACGTAATTTATTTAATAATTAGCATTAAACTAGCCCGATAGATTTTCGGCATTCTGTTGGTATGTAGCTATATTGTATATCGAGTTTGGAGATGTTTGTATCCCTCAGTATTTTTATCTTTTAATAACTCGTGAACTTGTAAACTGAACACTGCCATATTGAATACTACAAAACATCAAGAATGAAAGTTGCTATTGTGTTACAACCATAAATTAGTAGAATTCGTTAATTATGTAAGAAATTAAATTGGTTAAGTTTTTTTTTTTTTTTTTAAACCAGAATCTTAAAAATGGGGTATGCAGATTCCTTGAAGCTGCAGATTATTCAAATAAATATGGTATATTAAAAATTTTATTAATTTTAAATATTATTTATATATGCTGCATAATGAAATTAGATCATGCAATAGAAATTGTGAGAGATGTTTATAATCAAATAGTTTGCTAAATAATACAAATATTTAAAATTAAATAGAATTTTATACATTTTGCTAGATAAGGAATTTTCAAAAATATTTTTTAACGCAATTATTTTTAAGGCAAAGATTTTCAGTGAGATTATACTGAGATTATATAGATTGAAATGTAAATTTTATAACAAAATATGTAATTAGAACTCAGAATGTTTTGCTGTAAGTTTTATTTGATTGATTTTCTTGATTTAAACATATATGATTCATAAATATAATATATATATTGTATAGAGTGTAGTAATGTATATAGAGTAAAGAATTTCAAGTTCTTTATGTTTACATAAATTATAGGTACACGCTTACAAGGTGCTTTACAAATTCTTTTGTATAAAAAGTTACTTAGAATGCGTGTAGTTGGTGAAAAACAAGCTGGACAGGTAAAGTTTTTAGACCAATATATATTAACTAATCTGTTTATGTCCAAATTTTTGTTATCAGGTTATTTTTAAGCATTTATTGTATTTTTACTCCATAAATTAAATTCCATGAAGTTCATATTTAAATTAATTATCAGATAAAAATTTAATTTTTCAGATTTTTCTATGAAAATTCATTCCAAAACAAAAATTACAGATATATTGATTTTATAAATTCCTATTTCAGTTTTAATATAAAAATGATTAGTAAACAGCAGTTTAACATTCTATAGTGAATTAATTAATTTTCAAAAATTGCTAAAAGTCATTAAATTATAATTGTACTAATTAAATGATTTACGATTGTATTCATAACCAAGAATCAAGAGTTAACTAATTATTATTTACTTTACTTTTAGTATATGAATGCTTATTGATTGACTTTTAACTCTTGATTCTTGGTTGTGAAAAGACACAATTAGAATAATTATAATTTCATAAATTTTGGACATTTTTAGCAATGAAATTACCAACAAAAATAAACAATAACTCTTAAAATTTTAATGTAAATTTATTTATTGTCTTTAATATTTTATTTATTTATTAATAGATTTTATTTGTTATTTAATTTCTTTTATTAACCAAAAATACTACAGTAGAGCATCGATTATCCGACTCAATTGGGGACTGGGGTTGGTCGGATAATTGAAAAGTTGGATAACCGAAAAGTATGAAAAATCCATTATTAGTGTAGTATATTATTATATCCCATGTAATTAGTATATTAGTATATCGCTATTAATCTACTTTGCGTTGAATTTTCCTCCATGTTAAGCCTATCAAATTTTTTTAAAAAATAATAATCGTCTCTATTGTATCGTTAAAAATTAGAAAGTTAAGCCTCATTTAAATACTGGTTCCCTTTCATGGTCGATCCAGTGTTGCCAGCTAAAAAATGTAAAAATAATATTAAAGGAGCCAAGACATAGCCAAATATTGTAGCGCCACATCACTAGCGGACATTTGAATTTGCCGACTAGAACGCAGTCGGTTAACTGAGGTGACGGTTAATCGGGGGTCGGTTAATCGATGCTCTACTGTATTAATTTATTTTAAATCAAAATATTGAAAATAGAAAAAGTTTCAGTAAAAAAATTAAATGGATTCAACTAAATAAATAATCAGTAATAAAAGAAAAGTTGTTATAAGTATTTAATCATAATTCTGTTTTAATAGTAAAATATAATTAATATATTTTACAGATTGTAAATTTCTACACAAATGATATTGAAAGGTTGTTTGAATCTGTGGTTACAGGTGTTCTTGCACTTGCTACACCTATCATGTTTATTTTAACACTTACATATTCCTGTGTTCTGCTTGGTCCATGGCCCTTATTGGGACATTTAATAATTTTGTTATTCTATCCTCTTATGGTAAGTTTATTTTATTTATCTCTGATATTTCATATGATATATATGTGATATTTATATGTATAATTTTACTCAGTTCTATCTAGAGTTTTGTTTCCAAATATAATTTGTCTAAATGTAGTGTAATATATTTGTATGTTAGGTTCAGACAACTTACTGAATACAAAGACAAGATTTGTAGAACAGATTGAGTATTCCCAGTCTGATATTGTGAAATCTATAACTTAGCTTTCACAGAAGGTAGCCCTTTGGGATAGAACTATGATTTACTGTTTTTTTCTGTGAAAGATGATGCATTAATGCATATACAACTATGATGAACCATCATGATTTAATAAACCATCAAACATTGTCTGAGTGAGATCTCTGTGATTACTTGTTTTCTGTTGGGTTGTTTATATATCATTAAAAACGTTATAAAGATTTGATAGTAGTAATAATTTCAACTCTACCCTATGTATTCCAAAATCCAGAAAAATTTAAAAATATGAAACATTTCAATTTCAGGCATTGTAGATTAGGGATGCTTAACTTATAAATATATTTTTTTTTTTGTAGTGATGAGGTATATTTGATGTTTTGCTAAATCTAATCACAGCTGTAATATAGTTGTATAATACAGAAAGTTAAAAATTTTTTCTTACATGTATTACAAAAATTTCATTTTATTTGTATAAAATTTGTTTCAAAGTTTGGAGAAATACTGTTCAATCAGTATATACTGGGTTGAGCATCAATGTCAACATCTCCCACGCTCTGAAAGGTTTTGAATTGTTATCTGGAGACAAGGGAAGACCATTGGTATTCATTATTTTAAGTTGCTTCTTGTGTTTGTTCTATGAGATATTCGTTATCCAAACATATGTTTGTTGTCCAAACATAAAAATCTTTTGCGAAAGTATTTATTGTCTGATTTGTTTGTAGTTTGAAATGTTCATTAACCAATCACTTACTGTACTTAGAAAAGTTTGGTTGTCTTGTTACCAAGTGTAAGGACAAGGAAAAGTGTTGGTGAGGAGATCATTGTCTCCTTTTATATCACCTTGCATGCCCCCTGTAGACCACTGGTTGCATGTCATGAGGGTGTCACAGTGCTCCTCCCATGCCAACAGTGTAAAGCTCAATGGTATCTACGGTTGAATTGAATGCATCATCTGGATGGAGTTGTGGTGGTTGGTTATTAGGTTTGGAGAGTTGTTGATTGATATGCTTCTATTGTTTGCTGCAATGATAAATGCTGGCTTCAATCGGTTCACACTAATGACAAATCTCTACCTTTCATTAATAAAGTAAAGTGTTTACTTGAATGTGCCAGCACTTGGAATGAACTGTCATGTGGGGTTGTGGGGGTGTCCTACCAAATCATTCCTAATGATTATGTGTGAGCATTCCATCAGGGATGAATCTAGAAAGATGGTAGGTTTATTGTGTGCAGATCTTTGGACTAGGGAGAAACTGGACTTTACATTGCATTCTGAGTTGTTGGATAAAGATGGCTGGTTCAATGGCAGTATTGTTTGCAGCTGTGGGTTGTAGTAGAAAGTTGGCTGGTAAATGTAGTGTCATTCCATACACTAGTTTTGAGCAGGTACCTCCAATGTTGGGTTTAAACATGGAATGGAGGTCTAGGAGAATTGTAGGTAGGTTCTCTGTCCAGTGGTTGTGACCATGGAATCAGAAAGTTTGTTTGACTGTGCTATGGAATTGTTCCACTAACCCATTAGATGATGGATGATATGGAGTCGTGCAAATTCACTTGATTCCCAAGAGGGAAATGAGTGATGTAAAGAGTTGGGACTCAAACTGCTGATCTTGATTGGTTATTACGAAGGACGGGACTCCAAACTGGGCTATCCATGTTGCAACAAAAGCCCTTGCTACTGTTTCAGCTATTGTCTGAGATAAGTGTATCTTCAGGCCAATGGGTAAATCGATCAATGCACGTAAGTAGGTATGAGAATCCTTCAGCTGGGGGACATTGCCCCAAGATATCTATGTGTGCATAGTGGAATTGTTGTTTTGGTAGATCAAAGTGTCACGAAGGACGTCATGTATGATGGCTGACTTTATTTACGTTGGCAGGTGACAGAAGCTCGACACCACTGATTGATGTCCTTGTGCATTGATGGTCATATAAAACATTTTTGCATTAACTTGTGAGTTGCTCAAGTGCCTGGATGTGAGAGATTATGCACAACATAATCTCTCACATTCAGACACTTCAAGGTGAAAGCTGACTGGGATGTAAGGTCAGAATTTATTATTTGAAGTGTCACAGATGATCTGCAAATTAGAGCTGAGTGTAAGAGGTTGCAGTTGTAGAAAGGATTGCTAGTTGGATATTAGTTTTTGAAGCTTTTCATCCTTACTTTGCTCTTGGGCTATTGTGGTGAAGTCCAGAGAGGAGGGTAGGTGAATGTTGTTGATCTGAGTGAGTGTGTCAATTATTGTGTTCTCAGATCTGTGTACATGTCTGATATCTGTACTAAACTGAGCAATAAAGTTGAGTTGATGGAGTTGACAGGAGAACAGACTGTAAACATTTTGTTGAAAGCAAAAAACAGTGGTCTGTGAAGATGATGAAGAGTCTTCCTTCCAGTTGGTATAAAAATGTTTGATTGATGCATATATACTAAGAAGTTCTCTGTCATAGGTGCTATACTTTCATTTTGCATCTGTCAGTTTTTCTGGAGGAATAGAAGGTGCAGCAAATCTTTTTGATATGACTGACATGGATGCCTCTGTGTCATCTAGAAAGTGAAGTTTCAAAGAAGGGTTGTCCATGAAAATTCTATTGATCTGACATTTGCTCTCCACATTAATATTAATATACAGTATGCCATTAGTTGTCTGGGACATGTATTGTATCAGTACATAATGTTTACATGTACTTTGTGGATTACAAAAATTTAAGAATCATATGCTTAAAAAATGAATGTTATATAGCATTAAACTCTTTATAGTTTAAATGAAACTAATGATTTGATACATCATTATGTTGTGATTTATTTTTTGAGATGATGATAATTGATTAGTTTTTAGTAATGCTTTTTTTATCTACAGAAAATCTAATAGATTATTAAATGTTATTGTCATATAGTTTTATTTTTAAATAATTTTACAGGGTGGTATGGCTGCATTAATTACCATGTTGCGTCGAAAAGCAGTGAAATGTACAGATGAAAGAGTTCAACTAATGAATGAAATTATTACCAGTATTAAACTTATAAAAATGTATGCTTGGGAAATTCCTTTTGCAAAAAAAATTACTGGTATTATTTATTTATTTATTTTTAATTGTTAAATAAAATGTTGATTGTAACATTAAGTAATTTTAATGTACTATCTTTTATTTGTGAAATCTTAATTTAGTATTGTAAATATTTTCCTTCTGTTCAACTTTAAATGTTTTAATTTGTTGCCACCAGAATTCTTTTTATCTCTTGATTTCACACTTTCCTTTTTATCATTGAGTAGTATATTAAGTTTAGTAAATTTTGTTTTTTTTTTTTACTTCTCTTAATACTGTATGTTTAATACATTTTAACTAGCTGTATTATTATAAATTATTTCAGAAAATATTTCCATAAAATATGGATATAAATATAAACATTAGAATATAGCTAAGTATATAGTATTTTATATTTTTTATAATCGGTAATATATTTAATTACTCCATTCAATTGTTGGTACACATTAATATTTTTATGTTTAGTAATCTTTGTTATAAAGTAGCAATTCCTTTTTAATGCTAATAGTTAATAAAATTTTAAAACATTTTATGTACAGTATTTGTTTTATTGTGAAGATGGCATAAAATGTAAGAATGAACATGAAAAATTGAGGCAGTAATAATGCATATAAATGTATTCACTTTAGGATTTCTCAAACACAATTTCTGTAGATATATATGGAGCCTATTCACTTGTTGTTTTACGTTCTCACTTGATTTGTTTTAAATCTACATCATTTATCCAGAAGTCACAAGTAAATATTGTTTCAGGTAACCTTAATTTTTTTCTGGGTTTTGAACATGGTAATATAAATAAACATGACAGATAGATGTGGAGGCTGGTTAGCTCAGGGATGCCTCTTTGGAGAGACAGAAGGATTCATGATTGCCATACAGGATCAGGTCATAAATCTACAGAAAATCTACAGAAAATACATACTCAAAGGTACAACACTCACAAATGACACATGAGAAAATATCACATCATGCCAAAAGCTATACAACACATCATTTCCAGTTGCAAACTTTTGGCACAGACAGATTATTTACATAGACATAATCAAGTAGCAAATATAATACACCAAGAGCTTGCAAAGAAACACAAATTATTAGACATCCATGAACCATACTATAAATACATCTCACAGACAGTATTGGAAAACAACACACACAAAATGTATTACGACAGAGCCATAATCACAGATAAAACAATTTACCACAACAGACCAGACATCACACTCATTGACAAACACAATAAAATCACATACATTAAAGACATATCCATTCCAAACACTTACAATATACAAAACACATGCACTGAAAAAATCAGCAAGTACACAGAACTCGCCAGGAAATAAGGCACCCGTGTAGCATGGATAGGGTGGTTATTGTACTCTATCTGTTGTTCTCTCCTCTACACGTGTCATATAACACACACTACACAAAAGCCTGGGAATATTACAATTGAATAGAAACACATACATCACATACGGAAGGCCATACTATTGAATACATGTCATATTGTTAGGAAATTCCTGAATATAGACACACACACACTGACACACTTTTAATTTTTTTGTTTTGTTTTGGTTACTATGCCTTGACTCTTGTCCGGCATAGTACACAGCCACCAGTGTCAACCGAGTATAACTCACAAAACCCATAATAATAATAGGTTTGCCAACAATCTAAGTTTTATTGATAATTTAATTGTTTCATACATTCGAAAGTACAAGAAATCATGTTTACATTTTTGTGTTATTTCTAAAGATAAATGTTTACAATTTTTATTAGCATTAAGAAAGTGTTAAACTATTTTGTCTTTTTTAAACAAATCACTTATTTAATTTAAAAGATATTTTTGATTTCAAAAAATCCATAAGTCAAATATGTAACTAAATTTATATTTATCTATTATTTGTTTCTCATTTTGTATTTAGTAATAAATGAAAATATATTAATTTTTATTCTTCTATAAATTATTTTATATAGTTATATAGTGTTGTTATATTTCATTTATTTTTTCACATTACATTTTGTTGAAATAAATGTTAGTTTGCTTATTTATAAATGGTTAGAGATCAATATTTATAAATGAGTTTGAAAATTATTTTAAGAATATAATTAAATAATTTAAGATTTTGATTATGCGTTATTTCAGTCATAAAAAAAATAAATTAACTTTATGTAAATTATATTTTATTTTTAGATGTGCGTGAGAAAGAAAAGAAAATTCTTCAAAAATCAGCATTTTTACAAAGCCTTTCCACCAGTATTTCTCCATCCATTGTTATAATAGCAACAGTAGCTACATTTTTAGGTCATACATTAAGTGGTAATCCATTAAATGCTCCTCTTGCCTTTACAGTATTATCTGTATTTTTAGCTTTGCAGTTTTCTATTGGAACTTTACCTTATGCTGTCAAAGGAATTTCTGAAGGAAGAGTTGGGTTACAAAGAATACAAGTAAATATATTACATATCAATATTTAAATAATTTATTCTATTATATCAGATGGCATATGATTAAACTTCATTTTATACAGGTATCTCTCATATAACACAGTAGTTACATTCCAAAAAAGTGTTGTATTATGTGAATCCATGCTATATAAAAAGGACATGCAAAACATGAGGTTATGTTCCAGAAGTTAGCAAAAGTATACTATTCTTTTTTTGTTACTGAGAAATATGTTTATTAAAGCAATCAATAATTAATTAACAATCACAATTTAAAATACTGTATTATGCATTAATATTAATTTTAGTTAAATGAGGGCATTTTCTTTTTACAAAGTATCATCATCTTCTGAACTTTTTTGTTGATCTTGATCAGAAGTATCAGCAATATTTTTTATTTTTATCATAAAAAATGTTTATGGATGATGAAATAAAAATAAAAATATGTTACTAATTGAAAATTTGTTTCGTCAAATACTGAGTGGCTTTTTTCCAGAATTTGTGTTTGAATACTGAATTATTTGAGTACTGAGATAGCATTGTATTTTTTTTATTTTACAAATGATTGCTTATCTACATTTTTAAAAAGTTTAATAACACTTACCTAAAATTGTTTAAATAAATTTTACTAAATACAAAGATTAATATATTAAAAAAACCACAGTGACAATCTTAAGGGCTAAAGTCTGAAAGCAATGACAACAACACCTGGTTGATAGGAAAGTTAGTGCAATTTTTTTCCTTGTTCTATCAGTTTTCATTGAAGTAAACCTGACAAAAATCACAAAATAATTTTAAAATTTCAATATTTTCAAATTCATGGCCAAATTTGAGACAACATGCATGCTACTTGAATAAAAAAAATATTGAGTAATAAAGTTTACATTTACAAATTGTGACATTTTGCACGGAGGATTTCCTGAATCGTGTTAAAGTGAAACTGTGTTGTAGTACAAGGGGATACCTGTATATACAAAATCAAATGTAATTTATATAAGAAAAAGAAATATATATANATTAGTATAATGTTTGAACTCTGAATTACAGGTTTAAAAAATCCAGTTCCACTTCTGGGACTGGAATTGTTGGAACTGATCCATGTGCAAAACTCTTCCAATGGAATGGTTTCTTGGATATGCTTAGTCTGTTGGACTAGACAGTTCCACAGAATCATTATATTCTGTCGGAACTGCTGTTGGACTTGGTTTTTCATTGGTTATATATATATATATATATAATAGAATATCTATAAAATCACCTTATTCAATATTCAGTAGATCCATAGTTTTATGGTTAGCAGCTTGCCATTCTTTAACAATAAGCTTTAATAGTCTATTCAAATTAGAAGAAATTGTAAAGAGAACTAAAGAAGATAGAGAAAAAATAGCAAGAGTATTTATAATAGAATAAAATAAAAGAATTTTTATGAACTTGAAACTGAAATAGTTGAAATAAAAGTTTTTCTTTTGTAATATTCTCTTCTCCTTGTGGCCATTAAAATGGTGTTTTAGCAAGTCCATTACAGTTTGACCAGGTCCACAGTGGGATGATCATGTGGAGAGGGTTGGAGCCTAACATATTTGGACAAAACATCCCCTAAAAGTTACTGGAATTTTTAAACCCATCTAGATTCAGTCCCAGTTTCCCAGAATGGTAGTCTATCACCTTAACCCAATGTTTCCCAAACTTTTTGGATTAATGACACACTGAATTTAATAAGATTCCTGTCACATAATTTTATGGTCAATTTAAAAAAAATGTTTAAAATTTAAAATAAATTATGGTTGATTTTTTAAAAAATATTTTATATTACAGAAGTTAAATTTACCAAGAGAAAAACTCACAATTTTATAAATGTACTATAAAAATAAAAAGACTATTTGAACGAATGTGTAATGAGATAGTATCTGTTTTTAAGCTTGTAAACCACAATGTTTATAGAAGCTCCAAAGAATTCATAGAGGCATGCAACTTTTGTGAGGGTATAGGCTGATGTTGCAAATTTTGAAACAATTGACATTTTAGTGAATGTCTCCTTTTCTCTTTGACTGGCCATTGGTAAAAAGATGAAAGCTAAATGAAATTTTAAAAAAGAGCATATTCCAAATTCTAAAAAAATATTTAATATTTCTGTGACACACCTGAGGCACTCTCATGGCACACAGGTTGGGAAACACTGCCTTAACCACTTGGTTATCCAGCCATGTAATGAATAATAATAGAATGAGTAGTTCAGATTGAAATAAAACGCATTTTGTTGGTTACATTAAAAATTTGAATTCTAACTTCTGCAAAAGATGCACAGAACAATAAGTAAGTCTGTGATAGCTTTAAAAGAAATTTTTTTATTATTTAATGTTTCAAACTTTTAAATTGAAAAGAGCCACTACAGAGAGAAATATTGAAAAAATATATTTGATCTTTACTTTGTAGTCAGTTTCTATGTTAGTATAGTAAGCTACTTGTAAGAACTTACACATTATCTGTCAGCAAAAATATTTTTATTGATATACATTGGTACCTCAGGATATGAACGCCCCAGCATACGAAATTTTCAGGATATGACATGAAATTCGAATATATTTTTGCTCAAAAACTCACCATACGACGTTACATTAATTTGCAGCCCCATTTTTTATTCACTTCTGTTCATTGGTCTCAGTCTATGTGTTTGCTTCATCGTAGAAGGATCTTGCTTGATAAAGGAAATCTTGAGGTATTATCAGAAAGTGACTGATTTTATTGAAAAGAAACATCCTGAAAAGGTTCACACTGGCCGTATTGCTGCTTGGAGTAATAACATTTGCCTAAGTCATTTTAGAAACATTTTAAAAAGTAGGCAAAGCCAAACCTCTTTTGGATAGATATTTTACCAAGCGACCTCTATCCAGTGCTGGTGGGAGTGAAGGAAAGAAAGCAAAAAGCAGTGATTAAAAATAAAAAAACAAATATATAAAACAGCACTAATTTTTTAAAAATCTTTTCTAAGTTATTTTTAAGTTATTGTTACATTACGTTATGTAAGTTAAGTTTTAGTATCATTTCCCTTCTCCCTTTCTTCCACCACCAATTTACACCTCCACCGTCGTCTATCCTCAAAGGTAAAGTGCAAATAAAACTACATTTTTTTTAATCATTTATTATTCTATTATGGTTATTTATACATTTACAACTACAAAATGCATTTTTCAGTGTTTTCCTTACTATAGTTGTTATTATTATTTTTTATATATTACTTAGCTTTAATTTGAGTGTGTTTTTGTGTTGGAACGAATTATTTGGTTTTACATGTAATTATATGGGGAAAAATGATTCACCTTACAACATTTTCATGATACGATCTCAGTGTCGGAACAGATTAATTTCGTATCCTGAGGTACCACTGTATTAATTAATTAAATGGGAAAAAATGTTTTATTTAAAAATTACTAAAATAATGTGTATGCATCTTAGAAACTTTTCCTTTATTAGAATTTTAAGTATTTATTTTTTAAGATACATTTCTTTTTAAGATAAATTAATGTGATTAAAATTATTATTAAAGAATTTAAAGTTTTGTTAAAAATTTTGATGAAAACTAGAAGTTTGATAATCTGAAACTGTGTTGTTATTCTTATTTGTTGCTTAAACACTATGTAGTGTGATTAATCGATCACATGGCATTTCTTCATCTTTTATTTCAGTTGATATGTGTTTAGGTTACATGTTTCGGGCATAACATGCCCCTCTTCAGTCAACAAAAAATTTATTAAAACACACACAGTACATAAAAAGATAATAATTACATATAAATGATTTAGATGCTTTACAAGACATACCTCAGGATCATAATTTTTTCAAACCGGGCTCTATTGGATGAGTACATGATATGTATATGACTTGCACATATCATGTACTCATCCAATAGAGCCCAGTTTGAAAAAATTATGATCCTGAGGTATGTCTTGTAAAACATCTAAATCATTTATATGTAATTATTAATGTATTTAATTATTTAATGCATATCAAGTGAAATAAAAGATGAAGAAATGCCATGTGATCAATTAATCACACTACATAGTGTTTAAGCAACAAAAAATAGAGGATTTTTTGCATTTTATTGAAGTCTGTATTGAATTTTGGAATTGTCATTCTCAATGTCTCTTAGCTGTTTAAGCATGTTTTTTTCACTTAATAACTTATACTGTTTTATATAATATTGATCGAAAACAAAATTTAACAATTTTAAAATGTAATATGTTAATAATTAATTATATAATAATAGTACTGATAATAATAATAAGATATGCATCTTTACAAGTGTAAAGAATGCAAGTCAAACAAACTTAAAAACAAAACAGAAATAAAAATGAATAAAATTCAAAGCAATATCTTCTTTAGTGGACTCAAAAGGTAAGGTTAATGTAACAATAGTAATAATTCATATAAAATACTATTGTTTATGATAGAACATGCTTTTCTATAGTTGCAATAAAATAGATAAAATAAAAAACTTTATGAAATACTTTTAAAATTAATTTGAGTCACAAATACTTATAAAGTATGTAATCACAGATTCATATAATTTTTCTGATAGTTTTAATGAAGATAATACTATTTTCCATTTAAATTGGCCTTTGGACTTTTTCTTTTCTGATATAATCAGTTAAGTAATTATAATAATAAATATTTCAAAGTTCATAATTTTTAAATATTCATTATTATAATTAATTCATAATTATCAAGATAAATAAATTTTAGTTATAAATATTGTGCATTTGCAAAGGTAATGTTTATTGATTTATTTATATAAAGATGAATAGGAAAATTTTCTTTTATGCATTTTCTTTATGTTTAAAACTAAATGAATTTTTTATCGTAGATTTGTCAATATAATTTACTTTTATGACAGTAATAAAAAATATATTATTAATAAAAAAATAATTATGAATACTTAAATAAATAAATGCTGTAGTAACTAGTGACTATAGTGATGCAACACAATTACTGTATGTGAATATTGTAGCTTGCAAAGAAAAAATTTAAAATTATCATCATAACAGCTGGTCTTAACAGACAGTTTGCTTTTTGGAATAAAATTAACATAATTAATTCAGCCAAATTAGCTGAGAGAAGTGAGCCCTTAGGCACTCCTTGCTTTTGTAAATAAATGTTACCATTGAAACAAAAATAATTTTTTTTGTAATTAAAAAACTAACATACAAGACTCTCATTGATAAGTTTATAATGTAAGTTTTTATTTTTTCAACACGAAGTTGAGTTAACATCAAATTTGATATACATGATATTAGAGGATTATCAAATGTTATAACACTTTAGGTTCTCGTTACACTCAGACATTTTGTCTTTTTGCTACAATTACATATTAGTCTAATCCACAGATTTTCTTACATGACAATCCTACTGTCAGTAGACAATTGAAAATACAGGCGAGAGGAGACGCTAGTATGTGAGAAGTTCCTCAAATTTTTATGTCAAATAATCGCTATCTTCTTCTGGTTGTTTTGTTGATTAGGGCAGAGTCTGTTGACTTTTGTAACTCTTCCTTTTGCACAGTCCCATCATCACTGGTCTCCTTCATGTTCTCATAATGGCACAGAAAATAAGAGAGAGTCGCTCTCTCAACCACAAGTCAGTATGTGCCCTCTCCTGCTTCCCCACTAGGTTTATTGCCCCCTCCAGGCAATAACAGGCAATGGAATATTCTAGAAGCTTATAAACAAAGACTTTGTGATTGATAATTTAATTTTATATACAGAAATGACAAGTGATTGTCACAATAATACTAGTTAGATAAACCATTATTAATTAAAGATATATATATACAAGGTCTGTTCAAAAAGTATCGGACCTTTTTTTCTTCCGCGTAAACCAATGATGCGAGAAAGGCCTCCTTCGGTGGAGTTGTGGAGGGGACAGCCATGCACAGCCCTGGATTTTTTCCCGCCTGCAGGAAGCGTCAGTCGTTGGCAATTGGCCTATGAGTGAGGTCATGTAGTGCGCTCTCGTCGGATTCCACTAAGCTGGAAAATGACTGAACAACGTGAGCAGCGATATTACATCAAATTTTGCCAAAAACCTTGGCGATACCCGAGTGTAAACCATTCGCAAGATTCAGCAGGCTTTCGGGGACGATCCTCGAGGCCAAAAAAAGCGCGGCAGGTCCGCAGCAATATCAAAGGTCATGTTGACAGTTTTTTCGACTCTCGTGGGGTGGTGTGTCGTGAGTACGCACCACAAGGCCAAACCATCCCAAAGGAGTACTACCAGGAGGTCCTTCGTCGTCTTTCCGATACAGTGCGATGCAAACGATGGGATCTGTGGTCGATCAAAACTTGGCAGCTCCATCGTGATAACGCATCCGCCCATTCTGCGCATCTGATTCGGGCTTTCGTCGCCAAACACAATACTCCTGTGGTTCGTCACGCTCCGTACTCTCTCCACATGGCTCCGTGTGACCTTTGGCTATTTCTCAAGCTGAAAATGCCGCTAAAAGGAACCCAAATTTAGTCGAGAGAAGACATCATGCGAAATGCGACGGACCGGCTGATAACCATTCCAAAAGATGCGTTCCAGCAGTGTTTCCAGCAATGGCAGGAACGCTGGGAGAAGTGTATACATTACCAAGGAGACTACTTTGAAGGGGATTAGGGTTTTGTACCTCAAAGTCAATAAATTTATTTTTGCCGACTAAAGGTCCGATACTTTTTGAACAGACCTTGTATGTATATATATCTTTAAATAAATAATTATTAGTTAGAGATTATATATATATATCTAATTAATATAATATATTATATATTATTAAACAAATATCATTGCCAGTAACAAAAACTTATCTAAATGGCTAATTGAAAAAAAGAAAAAAACAGAACAGAAGATAAAACACTAAATGTATATTAATACAAAAATTTTTAATGATGTAAGAAGTAAGATTGTAAAAAGTATAAATAAGTTTTAGTATATTCATATATATCATTGTGCTTTTTATAGTGAAAATTCTAATTTCATAATTTATAAATACGGTAATTACTAGTAACCTGTCTTTTGTTGTTGTTACTGTAAACAAAATTTATCTGAATGAATTGAAATTATTAGACATTTTCTGTAGTGATAGTCAATAAATTTTTATTATAAGTTTTTTGTATTAATGTAACATAAAAAATTTTTTTAAATTAAATGTTTTGTGTATTTATCTTTTATTAAATCAATTATTACTGGATTTTTTGTACTACAAACTTGCTTTATTTTAAATTAATTATTAAGACAGTTTGGCCTAACAATATACAAACGTAATAATAAACTCATCTGTTTCATAGGCTTTAATAATAAATTTAAAATATAGAAGATTTATATTCCAAAACATTCAATGATATTTGTTTATATTTAATGTTTTCAGGATTAGTGAATTCTTAATATGTTTATCTTTTATTTATTTAGAAATTTTTACAAATACCAGAAGTAAACAAATGGACCACTCAATTTCAAGATGATACTAACACTGTTATTAAATTTAAAGATGTTTCATGTACTTGGGATATTCCTGGAATGGAAAATGAAACAGAAACTAACAATAAAATTGTTAAAATTAAATTAGAAACAAAAAATGAAGAGTGCAATCCTTTAACAAAAGATTTAGATTCAATTGGAGAAGCTGTTCTGAAAGGAGTAGAATTAATTGTGAAAAAGGTAATTGATATTCTTTTTGTTTCATACAAAATTAGAGTAGTTTTTCATTTTATACATTTATGCAGTTTTCAATTTCAATAGAAAAGTTGAATGTCTGAAAGTTGAACAATGAAGTTGTATGCAAAAAAGAAACAGTTAACAGAGTTTTGCAACAATACAGCACAGTAATAACTTTGCAATTATTAATGCTGCTTCGTTACTTTAATGTAATTTGAGCAAATAATGAAAATGATGACTTAGATTGAAAAAACAGAATAAAAATAAATATATTGTGATTGTTTAGAAAGTTCCATTCTCAAAGAGCTAAAAAAGAAAATTAGAAAATCTCTGATTAAAAAGAGAAAAGTTTAGAATATACAGAGAATATTCTACAAAGCCTAAAACATTATTTAAAACATTAAACCCATGGATTAAGTAGAAGACAGAGAATAAAAATTAATTTTCATAAATATTTTTGATTCTCAAGGTTGATAAACTGCCTTATTAGAGCATATTTTTGGCAGCATGTTGTGCAAATTGTTTTTCTTAGACACAGAACAAGTAATTTCAAGAGCAGCGAATTGCATCCACATGGAATGTGAATCTTCCATATCTGCATGGGAAAAATACCTTTGTTCTGACACTTGATCAGGAAATTAAGTTTAGCTTCATTCTTACCAATTTTAAGCGCTAATTTACAATATGTTTTTAAAAATTACATAGGCTGTTTTTTTTTTCAACCTCTGATGGTCCATAAAACAAAGAAAAGTGTAAATAACAAAATGAATTTATTACCAAAAATTAGGTACAAACATGATTACTTTTTGACATAATCACTGTGAAGATTGAGGCATTTTACATATCTGTGGACGAGCTTTGCAATCCCCTCTTCATAGAACTGCCAGTGACTTGAGATGGGCCTTAACTTGATGGGCTTGAGTTGTTTTGAAGATTGTCATTAGTCTCGAATCTCTGCCCTCCTAGCCACATTTTCAGTTCAGGAAAGAGGAGGATGTTCATCTCATCTAGTTTGTTATTGTGTTCGTTTGCTTTTCACACTGTCTGTCTAGCTGTTAAGTAAGTATTAAGATTCATGATTGCATTCAGTTTTATTAGTGTTAAGTAGATATAAGTCTTTCTACTAATAGCCACTTGGCACTAACTTCTACACTTAGCTATTTGTGTCGGCACTCAATTATTGGTGTTCGCTACACTCAGGTTTTCTTTTAGATCCTTCAGGGGACTACGGCCTTGCAGCCTAAAAGTTGCATGCCAACATCAAATATAGAGGGTACTGTAGCCTTATGTACACCGTTCAGAGGAATCCTACCTTTCTCTACTGTCTATCTCCTCTCCCTCCTTCTTCCCTTACCTTCTTTTCTGCTGGCTAAACACTTCGTGTACGGCCGATGTCTTTCTTGTATGTATGTATGTCCTTGAGTGGTATTTCATGCCATTCAAGGACAGTAGGATTAAATGATACCTGTACTACATAGGCACTACTAGTCAGTCATTAACATCAAGGATCAAAGAACACAAGGACAGCATCCAGAAGGCTACCCCTTCCACTACATTAGCAGCTTACTTGATGTCGGAGTCCATTTTAGTAGACTGAGATCAGACTAAAATAATCCAAAAAGTGCAAAATAAAAACATAATAAAAGCAAGGCAAATATATAAAACATCTTTGAGAGGGCAAGCAATCAATTACAAAGATAGCAATGCAATATCCAGTGCATGAAAGGCACTAGTGATGTAAATTAATAATAATTATGTATTTCTAATTCCAATTCAAAATTTATCAAAAAATAAATAAATAAATAAAACAAGACAAGCAAATATCATATTTAAAATATGCAGAATACAAATTATATTTAGCTGAAAATAAAAAACAAATTTGAATTTGGCGTATGAAAACTAATCTAGAAATTGTAGAATATTGCCAGATTGCATTCAAACTCAAGTGGAAACTGGCATTTGAACTAGTGGAAAGCTTAAATATGACTTGGCAATAGTGCTGGCAATACTTGGCAAAGTCAACTAATGTCAAATTAATGGATGTTTCAAATTAGGAAATGGCTGGATTATTGAGACTGTATTGTAATTGATAATGATAAAAATTTATTTTTTAGACGTTTTTATTTTACAAATAAATGAAATTCTTGGAAAATTACTGTTTTATTATAATTAATGATAATATAGAAAATTCTAAAGATACTACAGATTAATAAAATTTCCTAAACAAAAATTGCAAATTTTAAAACGTACATGAACATTTAAGTAACTTTTATATTGAATCTGAGTAAAAGTTTAAAAAAATCTAAACTTTTTAATGATATATTTTTAACCATTTAATGAAAGCTAAGGAAAAGAATTTGCCATATCTTTTCTAATTAATTTACAGATTAAAGAAAACAATAAAATGACGCATAATTAACTTATTTTTGTATTAATTTATTAAACTAAAATATATTTTAAAAAACTGTAATGTTAATTTTAAAAAAAATGTAACAATTTTAATTTTTAATCAAAATTTTAAAATTTTGTTTTTAATTGGATATTTTTTCATTACTTTTAAAGGAATTTTTTAAATTTTGATGCCGTGTAGCCTACAAAGAAAGGTCAGTCTTCACAAATTGTATTCAGAAACAATTAAAATGAATAAATGGTAACACCTCTTTCACAGACTGTGAAGTGATATCAAGTCAAACATGAAAGGAACATGATATTAAAGATTGTTAAACATGGCATCTTAGGCTTTCCATAAAAACAGTACAGTATGTTTTAACACAAAATTGTATAAATATAAAAATCAGTCTCTCAAAATTTTTCACTAAATTACCGGGAATCCACCAAATTGGCAGCATGATTACTGATGACAGCAATGTACTTGATGACAAAAAAGCAAAAGATAATTGAAAAATATTTTAAAAGGATTGAGAATTAATTTGAGGACTCTAAAATACTGACAAATGATAACTCTTTTCATATTTTCTTGCTATTCTATTGATATACAATGAGTGATTGGTTAACAAACATAATCCCTATCCGAATTGTTCATTAACCGATTATCAATTTACCACAGATTTTTATGGGAATTTGATTAATCCATTCTGGAGATCCCCAAAAATAAAAAATTATATACTTTCTTACTATGTTTATTTGTATGTAATAATAAAAATACATATATACGCAGTCTTGCATTTTTATCAGTCATGTTTTTTCTGTTTGTGGGCATTAAAGAATCTGTCCAATGTTGATTGCTTTTCTCTTTTCTTCAGGATTTTTCAGAAGTAATTAATAGCATTGCAATTGTAGAAATCCCCAAGCCTCAACCTGGTTTGGATGCCATTCTAAGACTGTTGTTCTGACATTCTCCCACTTCTTCAAAAGATCTTTAATAGCAGATGTCTGCATTAATCCTCTTTTTCAGAAGAAAACATATCTCGCTGAGTTTCTTGGCATTCTTCTGTCATCGGATCAGTTTCAAGTTCTATTATAAGCTCTTCAATGTTCTTTATTTCTCAGATGTGATTTTTGTTACTTCTTTAGCTGCTTGAGTCTTCTTGATTATACTGTATCTTTCTTAGATAAGATTGAACTGTGGGCTACTGTAGACCTGTTCAAGCCATACTGCCCAGCAACATTAGGCATCTTCTGCCTACTTTCTACCTTTGCTATTATACTCTCACCTTTCGAAAAGAAAAATAGACGCAAAACTTAATGAGTGCCTACCCGACAGTCTCACGAATACATAAAATAATTGTTTTGTCAGAAAAATAAAAGGCTGAAATTACAAGGAGGAGTTTCAATGTTTGGAGGAATACTGTCTGATCAGTATATACCGGGTTGAGTGTCAATATCAATGTCTTCCTGCGCTCTGAAAAGTTTCAAATTGTTGCCTGAAGACAAGGGAAGACCAATCAGTATTCATTATTTTATGTTGCTTCTTCTTGTGTTTGTTCTATGAGGTGTTCATTATCCGAACATGTGTTTGTTGTCCAAACACAAAAATCTTTTGCGAAAGTGTTTGTTATCTGATTTGTTCATAGTCTGAACTGTTTGTTAACTTATTAACCACAGTATGCGTTTTTAATTAATACATTGTATGATATTTGTATTAACTTCTGTGGAAATCTAACAATGTAACTTGCTATTAAAATTTTATTATATTTTTCAATTTAGTAAAATGTTCTGAATTTTCAAAAGTTCTCAGTATCATAAATTGAGACGATATTCATGGAAATTGACTTTTAATTATATGGTATACACTGAGATAGCCAACAGTATTTTATTTAGTCATAACAAGAAATTTATCTGTTTTTAAAAATTCTGTATTACTGTAAATAATCTTGAGGGAAAGAGGAGAGTTGATGTTTTGTAAAAGAAATTTTGAGTTTTATTCAAAGTAGTGATGATATATTCTGTAAAAAGTTTTTTGTCTTTTTAGATAAGATGTTTTAGATTTATCAGACAAAAAAACTAACACAAGTAAACTGGAACTATATAATACTACACACAACAATTAACATCTCAATACTAATTCCAGCACTCAAAAAATTTTAATGATCTAACATTTTGTTGTGTTTCATCCTGAGGAGGGCCTCTGACGTAACGGTTGAAAACGTTAGATCATTAAAATTTTTTGAGTGCTGGAATTAGTATTGAGGTGTTAATTGTTGTGTGTAGTTTTAGATTTATTATATTAGAAAAATTATATATCTAAATGAAAAGAAAGAAAAGAAATTTTAGAATTATTTATAAATGGTATTAATCATTAAATATTAAATAAAAAATAAGTAATTGAAACTAGAAAAACTGAAGTAATTTGTCATTAGCATATTAGATATTCATATGATTATTGATCTGAAGAAATTAGACAATTATTTCCATTATAACATTGTAGATTTTTTATTTATACATATCTCAGAAATGAATGAATTGTATAGATATTTTTATAGTATTTATTGAGTTAACAAAAATGAGAATGGAATCAAAAATATATTATAAATTTTCTATATTAATAGTTTTTTGTATTTGACAAGGGTGCACTCATTGGAATATGTGGTAGTGTTGGAAGTGGAAAATCATCATTGCTTTCAGCTATATGTGGAGATGTAAGTACTGTTAAAAACTATTCTCCATTTTGCATTTCAGATATTAACAAATTGTTAATCAAAAGTTCATAAGGTCAGTCAAAATGGCTTACCATTGTAATGTGAATATTGTTTATATTATTTAGAAGTTGCATTCTGTGTAGATAAATGATTTTTATAAGTTTTACACATTTATCTATTGAACTAGATATAGTAATAGAAATACTTCTTATTACTAATAACAATTTCATAATTATTTTTAGATATATCATTATTCTTTGTAGCTTTTATATGAGCAATAATTATCAAATTTAATTTATAATATTTCCATTTAAAATATAACTTTTTCAGATTATAATTTTATAATTAACTTTAAATTATGTCATCATATTTTACTAGTGTATGAATTTTTTAATATTAGATTGTATTCATGACTATCAGAATTTATCATGTAATATGTATATAAGCTCGTTTATTCTATCTTTAAATAGCAATTTTATCATATAATTAAAAAAATATCATAGGAACATGCAATTCCTTTTTTTCTTCAGAGAAAACATTTGAAATAATTTTATAATATTAGCTGAAATAATGGGTAAATTTATATTGTAAATGACAATTGATCTAGATTTTGGAGGCAGAATAATTTTTTAATGCTTGAATTTGCTATAAGAAAAATCAGCTTTAAAAATCTAAAATTGAAATATGTTCATACAATTATTAAAGCTTAATTCAAAAACTAGTGAAACATGGTTGCTAATAAATTTTTAAAATTATTTTTAAGAAATATATAATGAATGCTAAAATTATGTACTTTATTTTCATGTTTTGAAATTGCAAAGATACAAAATATATAGTTTAAATTATTTATTGTTTCATTTTAATTATTTATCTAGTTTTTGCATGAATGATCAAATTCTCCACAATGAGAATTAACAGAGAACATGTTATAAATGTTAATGTAATAACATAATTATCAATTTAATATTATTTTTATATTATTGTATTTATTTTATATATATATACTTTTTTTTTTCTTAGTTGACTCTTTTGGAAGGAAATATTGCAGTTAAAGGAAATATTGCTTTTGTTACACAGCAAGCATGGATTCTAAATAGCACTTTACGAGAAAATATCCTCTTTAGTTTACCCTTTATTAAGGAAAAGTATGTACTCATATTATTTTTATCATAATTGAGTTAAAATACTGTTAATTTAAAATTTTAATATAATTTTAATAATACAATAAATAGTTCATTTAAAATAGGAAGTATTGATAGAAAAATATGAATTTAACATTTCGTATGATAACATTTCTAATACTGTATATACCACAATTCTTTGAATTTTTAACTTTTTAAGTCAGTTTTTAATAAATTATACATAAGTATAAATGCTGTCTTTTTTTATTTTATTGAATATTTGCATTAAATTTAAATGTGTAATATAATTATTATTTTGAATATAAGACTATTCAATATGAAAAACACACATACACACTGGTGGCATTTCCCTGCCAAAAATTTCTTTAAGGTCCGAATTTCTTTAAGGTCCGAATAAATGAAAATCTGAGGAGACTAAACTGGACTATATGGAGGATGTTGCAGGACCTCTGCTGTGCCAACCACAGTTTGGTTTGATTTGATATGTGGGGTATAGTCCAGATTTAGCCCCCTCGGATTTTTATTTATTTGGACCTGTGTGACCATGACAGTGCACGTAGGTAAAGTTTGACCTGATTATAGTATTGTTTGGTATTTGTTTCTTTTGTATATCTAAATTGAGATTTTGCCCTTTCTTTCCTTAATACAAGTGCTATGCCTTCGGGCATATTGCACGGGGCTGTAAGGCGGCAGCCCAAAGATGTAGCAAATGTGCCCATGACCACTCCTATAAGGAGTGTAAGGCATCCGAGTCTCGGTGCGTCAACTGCACTGAGGCAAATAAAAAATTCGGCCTACAGCTGGGTATGGGTCACTCTGCCATGAGTGCTAGCTGTCCGTGTTATGCACGGGAACTAGAACGCGTTCGGGCCAGGACCGATTATGGTCCTTAAAAAGGCAATTCCTATCATTCGAGTCCGACAATAATACCACTTATATGCGGAATGGCGAGAATGCAAGCTGCAGTATACTGCAGTTTAATGCTGAAAAGTGTCGGGCTGCAACTGCCCAACTACGGGTAGAAGTAGTCGAGCGGGAGATCGATATCATCCTGCTCCAGGAGCCGTACTTAGTACAAGGAAAGGTTGGTGGTCTCTCACTTCAATGGAGCGTTTTCGCCCAAGAAGGTGACGATTGTCGAACTGCAGTTATTCTCACGCGCAGGGATGTCGATGCTTATGCTGTCCACATCTCTCATCTCGTGGTGGCCGTAGAAATACGGACACCTTCATGTGCTTGGACCGTCGTCTCCAGTTATCGCCCGCCGTCACTAAATCTGAGTTGCCTTCTGACTGAACTTGAAGGGGTTGTCTCGGTCCGCAGTCGTGTTGTTTTGGGTGGTGATTTCAACGCCAAACACTCGCTGTGGGGCTCGCCGATCGATGATCCTGACGGGAACATGATGAAGGACACGGCGGAGGGTTGGGGGTTGCACATTCTGAACAATCCTTTTGGGATTGCTACCTACTCCTCTCCATCGGGCAAGAGCTGGATTGATTTGACACTTGTTAGTGGCGCTATGCTGAGACTTACCTCGCAATGGGAGACGATCGATGCAGAAAGTTGTAGTGACCATCGCTTTATCGCCTTCGAGGTGATGGGCGGCCCGCCGGACAGGCAGGACAGTCGCTACAAACTGACTGCTGGAAACCGCGATCGCTTTAGCAAATGTCTCGTGGAAAAGACAGTCGATATCGTTACCGAAGTTTCTAAGGTTGAGAGTGTTGAGGACCTGGAGGAAGCTGTGGCAAACCTTACCAAAGCGGTCAGAGAAGCAGGAGACTGCACGCTCGCGCTACGGCGGCCCAGCAACCACCGGCCAGTTCCGTAGGACACAGCCCCTGGTGGACCCAGGAGCTGTGTCCTACGGAAGCGTGTGAGGGCGCTCCGCCGACGCTTTCAACGGTGCAGAGACGATGACCTTCGGGCGACCAGGAGACTGGAGTTCCAGAGGGCCAACGCTGAGTACAAGTACAAATTGAACGATGCAAAGAGAACCTCATGGCTCAGTTTCTGTCAGCAGATCAGTGACGAAAATCCGTTTGGCCTACCATATAGGCTAGTGGCGGGAAAGTTGAAGCGTAGGACGGTCTTGGGGTCCTTCAAAAATCCGGATGGAACCCTAACCTCCACACAGGAGGAGTCGATTAAGGTACTGCTCCAATCGCATTTTCCGTGTGATGAGCAGTCCGAGGACACTGAAGAGCAACGGCGGCTTCGCAGCGATGCGGAGTTGCCTGTTCTTGAGGCCGAGTTACCCGTGCCGGTGTCAGAATCGGAAGTTGCCCACGTCGTGGGCAATCTAAGGAAGAGGAAGGCACCTGGCGTTGATGGGATCACGGCCGAGATGGTACAAGTTCTGCAAGAGGAAAATCACTTATGGCTGCTGCTATTTTCGTTGTGAATTTGTCTCTTTAATCCGATTTTCAGTTCGGTAGACTATTATATACAGCATTCAGGTTATGAACTTCCTTTATTGATTTGTCATATGCATTTCAGACTCAATTGTAATTTAAGTCCCTCTTCAGTACAAACTCAGATTCTGTTTTCTAAAAACCTCGGTATATAATTGGTAACGTTGTAAAAGATGTGTATAATTGGTAACGTTGTAAAATATGTAGTTGAAGTGTTTTTTAAAATGGCTGTATTTTTATTCTTTTACAACGTTACCAATTATACACTGAGGTTTTTAGAAAACAGAATCTGAGTTTGTACTGAAGAGGGACTTAAATTACAATTGAGTCCGAAATGCATATGACAAATCAATAAAGGAAGTTCATAACCTGAATGCTGTATATGATAGTCTACCGAACTGAAAATCGGATTAAAGAGACAAATTCACAATCTGCAAGAGGAACGTCCTAACCTGCTCCGTGTACTGTATCAGAAGTGTCTACTCCTGGGTCACTTCCCAGCGCAGTGGAAGCGGGCGCGCCTTGTATTTATTCATAAAGAGAAGCGCCCGAAGAACGAGCCCAGATCCTACAGGCCGATCAGCCTACTACCAGTGCTGGGGAAGGTTCTCGATAGAATCCTCAGTGATAGAATCTTTTTCTATCTCAAGCGGAAAGGGCAGCTACACCCGCATCAATACGGATTCCGCCTGAACATGTCGACCTGCCATGCATTACATCGCACGGTGGAACTGGTTTGCCAGAACCGCCAGCAGGGGCCACACGTCGCTCGTTTTGATGGACGTTGCTGGGGCTTTCGACAATGTTTGGTGGCCATCCATTGTGGGTGAGCTGAGGAAGGCAAACCTGCCAACCGCCCTTGTATCACTTTCCAGGAGTTTCCTGAGTGACCGCTCGGTTGTCTATGAGACACCAGGTGGTAGGTATGAGAGGACGCTTGAGAGAGGCTGTCCACAGGGTTCCTGTATTGGTCCCCTCTTGTGGAACGTTCTAGCGGACACGGCGTTGCGACTAATCCTTCCGGACCAAGTCCAACTGCAGGCTTATGCTGACGACCTATTGCTAGTAGTTGCAGGCAATAGTCGACGCGACATGGAGGTTCGCAGCAACGAAGCAATAGAACAGCTTGTTCGCTGGGGGGAGCTTCATAAGCTCTCCTTTAGCCCTGAGAAATCAGAGGCCCTGACGGTGGCCCGAAGCGGGGTATTGGCACGCCGACCCATATACCGCATCTAGGGCAACCCCATCCGAAGGGTCAATGAGTTAAAGTACCTCAGTGTAATCATCGACCAGACACTATGCTGGACTCCCCACCTGAGGGACGTTCGAGTCAGAACGAACCGAATGATAGCGGCACTATCACGACTAGCTAGGCAGGATTACGGGCTAAGTGGCGAAGCGCTTCGTACCATCTATAAGATGAGTGTGGAGCGCGTTGTCTGCTACGCCTCTGGCGTTTGGTGGAAAGACACCGCCAACGTCTGTCAGAGTAGGACACTACTCACGATCCAGCGTCCTGCTGCTTTGCGGATCACGCGAGCGTACAGAACTGTGTCAACGGATGCGGCCCTGGTCTTGGCCGGGCTGCTCCCTTTGCCTCTGGTTGTCAGCCAAGAGGCAGCCTTCTACAGAACAACGGTGGAAGGTAGAGAGGCCATGCATTGTAATCAGAAGTACCCGATCAGACTTAGGCGTCAGACAGACGTATTAAAGATCCATCCTGCCCTTAGGATTGGACTCGATTGGGAAGTCGGTGAACCGACTGGTACTGGTGTTGAGATATACACCGATGGCTCAAAGGACGGCAGCTTAGTAGGCGCCGCATACTGCGTCTTTTCCGACGGAGTTGAAGTGTACAGCAGAACTGTCAGACTGAACGAGGAGGCGTCCGTGTTCCAGGCGGAACTGGTGGCCCTGGAGGGGGCGTCCCAGTGGATCCTACTACATCCGGGTCCAGAGCCGGTCACGGTTTACTCAGATAGCCAGTCGTCGTTACAGGCTTTAAGCGACGGGTACCATCGTGACCCATTGGTACACGAGATCAGAGGTAGGGTACTGAGGGCGAGGCACGAGCGACACGTTGCCCTGCGGTGGGTAAGAGGCCACACCGGTGTCCTGGGCAACGAACGGGCCGATCAGCTGGCAAAGGCGGGAGCCAGTGGCCCATTTGTTACGAGGATGGTAGATCCCTCGACTACATACATAAAAGGTACTCTACTGCAGAGATCGATGATAAGCTGGCGAGAGCGCTGGACTCTAAGTACAGTAGGTAGGTCAACCTACGCCTTCGTGCCTGTAGTTGGCCTCACTCCGATAAGTTGTTGCTCGTTGTCGACTCAAATCCTAACTGGCCACGGGAGGTTCCCCCACTTCAAGTCCAAATTTGGACAAGGAGATGGTAGCTGCCCCTGTGGTAGTCCTCGCGGCGACGCGAGGCATTACGTACTTGACTGTCCCCTAACAAGGGACTTCCGCCTAGGGGCAGACCAAGTTGACTGGTCTAAGCCCCCTGAACAAGTACTTCGAACGCTAGCAGCTAGTAAAGGGAACCTAAAGAAACTAAAGGAATTGATGGGAAAAATCATAGATCTTCTTGATCTATAAGTTCTTGTTGGCTTATTTGGGCCCCCTCCACCTGGAGTCAGGGCCCCGCTATCCGTATACCTACTACACGTTGGTATTGTCTGAGTATCTTATATTATTATTGTGTGAGCTATTACAGGTTTAGTAGTGTGGACCAAAGTGCAGTACAGGCTGCACAAACAAAAGTTATGCCAAGTTAGTGAGCTGGGCCGGGGTGCAAACGGGAGTCCGAATGATGCATCATAGGGCCCAGCTATGACGTCCCTGTCTACCGCGTCAGGTACCGACCAGTCGATGAACAAGGCATAGTCTCTTTAAACCCTGTACTGCCAACAGGCGGGGCAGGGTAAGGAGTTCCTTATGAGACTGCCCTAGGTGGGTATGACGCGGCGAATGAGAGTGTGCTACAACGTCTTGGCGTAAACCGGAACTACGCCAAACTGATGCGGAAGCTCATGGTTAGCGACTGCATCCGGTGGAGCCAGGACATTTACGTAAACCACCTTGGCAATACTCAACAACAGTAACCGCTAGACTGTCCACAATATAACTTCGGGCCCATTGCCCTTGTTAACGCGTTCCTCCTCCTCTGTATATTCCGGCTGGCTGTGTGCCCATGGAGAGCGCATGTGGTTGCTACCTCCTCCACTTTTGTATATCTCGCGTAACTCATCATGTAAACCGCGACAGCTGGCTTGAGCCCGTGTTAATCGCGCTACATCTTTGTATCTAGCGGCTAGCAAGTGTTAGCCGCTCATGGCATCCTGCCTCTGTAACCGCGTTCAAGACAAACTATCTCCATTTATACTTTTTTAATCACTTGTATACTCATACTGGCTGGCCATGAGCCCATGTTTTTACTATTACCTTTACCATACCGGTAACACTTTGTAAATTTTATTTTAATTTCAATAAATGGCTTTTAACTCTGTTCTTATCAGCTTGATTGTTCCGTAATCAACTGATTTCTCCGCTGCTATGTGGACCACCAGACTTTGAGCCAGCTGCTCCCCGATGCCTTGGTAAGTGATTTTAACTCTATTTTTCTGTCCTATCTGCCTTCCTACTTCCGCTGAAAGGGTGGCCTGCACTGTTTAAACGCACAGTGTATTCGCTGCCTGACCGGCAACAACTTTTCTATCGCGGCGTGAAACCTGTTCACGACGCTACGTGTACTTCTTTTACTGCATGGGCTTGCCTGAGCAGTAATTCTTTCTTCCACTTCCTGCCTCTTCTTGGTTGGTTGCCTCGGCACCCCAGGAGGCACTTCCGCCCCTTGACTTCCACTTTCCCTATCAGCTACACATTTGACCCACGTCATGTCCATTCTCACGCTACTTGTCCCCTTGCGTCCGCCGCATGGTTGCAGGCTGTCTCTCCCTATCAGAGGGCGTCGAGTCGCTGACCAGTGAAGACGTGCTGCACTTCGCTCTGGATTTCGATCGTCCCATCGGCGGCTCTACGGATTAATCGTCCAAGTGTGTTACATCATTAGAATCGTCTTAACGTAAGCTCTCGAATAACGTTAATTTTATTTAATTCAGCCCACGCGTTTTCAAGTTACGGGCGCCGGAAGTTTCCGGATTTCCGCCAGCTTATTCCGTGTGGTTTCCGCGGGTAGGCTGTTAAGTCATATATCATTCTTTTCGGCCTTTCACCCTCTTTTATCCGCCGTCGACCGTTTCTCGATCGGTCGATTAGATTGCGTTTTATCACGACCGAAAGTTGTCGTAGGTCGGGCCGTTCTGCGGGCCTCTCAAGCTTTCGATCTTTTTCACGTTCGGGCATTTCTTAGCTGTCTACCTAATCTTTATGTGTATAAATTTTCGGGCCGTTACGTGCATTAGTCTTAAAGTTACGTCCATTTTAAGGTTTCTGTAGAACAAAGGGGTTTAAGGTCATTGACCTCTAGCACGTGGTTGGGTCACTAGCCTAGTCGACCCTAATACGGCGGCTTTTTTCGATTATTTTTCGGGCCGTGGTAGTCGCATCGCTTTGAGCCTTATATCGTTTAAACTGTTAAATTTTGTTCTTTTTGGTAATATAAGTTTACTAGCTAAACATTTTTATTTTTTAGTAATTTAAATTTTTGGGCTCTTCTCGCTATATTTTCATCGGATTACCGCTAGTATAAGTATATTTAGTAATTATAAGTATAACCTAGTCTGTAGAATTACAAATAAGTGTAATGGAAGACATGGAAGGTGATATAGACTCCTCAGCTACAGACTGTGAGGATAACCCACGGTCCAACACGCCGACCAGGTTCACTTCGGCGGAAGATACCTACAATACTTTGGAAGCTCAGCTATTAGCTGAATCGAACCAACACCTTCAGAGGATTATGGACCTCCTACCACAACCTAGTAAATCAAACCCCACTGTCCCGGAAAAGGCTGAGATCAAGGAGAGGGTGACTTCAATGTTCGCCACGATAAATAAATTATACGGAAGTTTGGTTGAACTCAGAGCCACCCAAAGCAACACGCCAAGCATAATGTGTCAGTGTAAACCAGTTCAAACCGTGCAAACACCAACTTACTCGGAAATACTCAAAACAAACATACACCAAAGCACTACGACGAAAACTATAAACAGATCTTTAAGTAGAAAGATCCAGAACGAGGGAAGTAGCAGCAGCTACGCCCTTATGGTCTATCCAAAGGAAACAGACAGCGGAACCACTAACATGGGGAAAATACACAAGGAAATTATAAAAGGAGTGCAACCTGATAAACTAAAAATAAAGGTTACAGCTATTAAGCGGGTGAAAGGCGATGGCCTCTGCTTCCACACAAGTAGCAGGAGGGATGCCATCTTATTGGAACAAGCTGTGCAAGGGCTACCGGCGGTACAGCCACAAGTCAAAACAAGAGTCTCAGAGGGCAGGCGGCCGAGGGTTATCTTACTGAACGTCCCGAACTCGGTTGAAGATGACAACATAGTCAACACGATATACCAGACACATTAAATGGATTAAGCAAAGAAGACTTTGAAGCCTCAACCAGGGTAACCACCACCCTCACAAGAGGCAACACTAAAGAAAATTGTAGGCACGTAGTGCTTTCCACCTCACCGCATATAAGGAATCTCCTCATAAAGGAGAAATACGTTTCCCTCTTATGGGCTAACATTCTCATTGATGACTATGTTCATATTACCCGCTGCTATCAATGCTGCGGGTACAATCATCTCGCACGGGATTGTTCATCCAAACAGTACTGCAGCCACTGCTCAAAATCGCACAAATACAATGAGTGTACTAGAAGAGAGCAGCCCTCATGTTGTGTAACTTGCAAGATGGCTAACAAGGACTTGCCTCCTGAAAAACGGCAGCCCACAAACCATAACGCCTTCGACCCGAAATGCCCGCATACAATCAAATTAAGAGAACAGATTATAAAACAAACAAACTATGGGTACGAATAATCAACAAACGAATCTCAAGCTGTTACAGATTAATCTGCAACGTTCGAAGGCTGCCTCTACCGAAGCGATGCACATGGTTAACACCCATGGCACAGACATTCTCGTTGTGCAAGAACCTTATTGTTACAATAGGGAAATTGCCCTATTCGGTAAACTCAATATTTTCAAGTACTCGGACCCTAATGATAACCCTCTGACCGGCATTATTATGGTCAACAGAAATATCAACGCCCATCAGCTAACCCAGCACACAAGCAAGTACCACACCACAATAATTACCAAAATGGACACGACTGCCATTGCAATCATCTCATTTTACTGCCCACCCTCCGAAGATATTACACACCCCCTGGAAATGCTTCAAGACACTATTGAGCAACTTAGTGGGATACCGGTTATGGTCGCTGGCGACTTCAATGCCAAGTCTCAGGTCTGGCATAGCCCAGTGGAGGACCCGAGAGGGTACAAGGTTATGGAGATGGTTAATAGTTTGGACCTTCGGTCCATGAATACCAGCACCCTCGCTACCTACTCGTCTTCAACTGGGGAAAGCTGGGTCGACATCTGCCTGGCAAACCGTCATCTCATCCCCTACGGGGTAATGTGCACCACTCTCAACGTGCAATCTGCCAGCGATCATCGGTACATCGAGACCATACTCAGGGCCGTTAGGGTGGACAAACAACTTTGTACCCGACATAAGACCAACTGGAAGCTCTTTCAGGATCAAATCCGTTCAAATTGGCTATATGGCCCGATAATGGACATGGACAAAACCACACTTGAAGACGCTATCGACAAGCTGCAAAAACTCATCCTCGCGGCTTACCATAACAACACTAAGGTCCACACGTCCAGGCAATCCGCCCCATGGTGGAACAGTCAGCTGACCACCAAAGAAAGGCCTTGAGGAAAGCGAGGAACAGATTCAGGCGTGAGTCTAACCAAGAAAGGCGAGAAGCTCTCCGTCAGAACTACTTAACTTTGTTCCGGGAGTATAAAACCTCAATCTGCAAGACCCGGACTGAATCCTGGAGAGAGTTCTGTACAAATCTGGGGAATGAGAAGCCCTGGTCTACCCCGTTCTATATAGCCAGGGGCAAGGTAAAAAACTGTAGGATACCAAACAACTCAGAAAGTAACATAAACAATCCTAACACTACTATAGAAGATACCTATCATCGTATCCTTAAGGACCTATTCCCTGATGATGACCCGTCCACCGATAACAGTGATCACATTAAAATCAGAGAAGAAAGCCTCACTATACCCAACACCGATAATGACAGCAATTTCACAAATCAGGAGATAGCGGCTGAGTTTAGGAGACTCAAACTTCGGAAGGCTCCCGGACCAGACAATATCACTCCAATTATGGCTAGGAAGGCCTATGAGGCCATCCCATCGACCTTCAGCGTCATTTACAACAAATGCTTGCAAATGGCATACTTCCCCAACACATGGAAAATTGAATCCATTAAGCTTATCCCTAAGAACAATAGCCATACTGATTCTACTGGGTATCGGCCTATCTCTCTCCTCCCGGTACTGGGGAAAATCCTAGATGGCCTCATGGTTAAGCGGTTAATGTACCACTGTGAGCACAATAAATGTTTAAGTGACAATCAGCACGGCTTCAGGAAAGGTAAGAGCACGATTACGGCATTGGACACATTAGTCAACTATATCAAGGAAGCCAAACACAGAGGCGAGCACACCATGGTGGTCTCGATAGACTTCAAGGGTGCCTTCGACCACGCATGGTGGCCAGCGATCCTCTGTAGCATCAAGGAAACTGGGTGCCCGAAAAACATCTTCGCCTTGGTTAAAGATTATCTACACAACAGGAAAATAACTGTCATTAATAACAGCCAGTTACATTTTTACAACAACATCCACAGGGGTCCAAATCCGGCCCTTGCCTGTGGAATATTATGTATGACAGTCTCCTCAAGCTCAGCTCTACCTTCCCTGGAGACATCATCTGCAGCCTACAGGGCTATGCAGATGACACGGTTCTGGCACTCTCCCATAAAAATCAAGAAGTGCTCCAAGCCAGAGCCAACGACATCTTACGTGTTATCTCCCAGTGGTGTCACCGGATGAAGCTAATGGTCAACTACGACAAAAGTAGCTGCATTATTTTTCCAAGGTCCACCCCTCTACAGAAAGGACCCATCATCAAGATGGACGGAAAATGGCTCAAGAACTGCGACAGTATCAAGTATCTGGGGGTGATACTTGATAATAGGTTAACTTGGAAGCACCAGACTCATTATGTATACGAGAAGGCGGTAACCGTGTTGCACTCCCTGTCCTCCATTGCGAGGAATCACTGGGGCTACGGCAGCAGGGCCGTAGCCCCAGTACGTCTCATGTACGTCTCTGTGATAGAGCCAATCTTGACTTATGGCTCGGAGGTCTGGGGGACCTCGGTTGCCAAAGTTCATGTCAAAAGGAAGCTCCTTTCCGCCCAAAGACTTGCTCTGATCTCCATGACTAAGGCTTATAGGACCGCCCCCACGGATGCTCTATTAGCTATCGCCAATTTGATCCCAATTGATCTCATTATAAGGGAAAAATATTGGGTCCACCAACAACTAAAGCATGCTAAAAGGATAATTACTACCAACGACCTAAACAAGCTTATGGGTAATCTAGTGGAAAACACGGACTTAAATAATATTACGGATTACCTCAATAACCACGAATTGGACTACAACTATCAGCAAACGACTTACCACCCCAACATCTTCCTGGACGATCACTTCTTTCTGGAAGGCCCCACGACCCATGCTGGGTTCAGCATCTACACAGACGGCTCATGGTCTGTGGAGGGGGTGGGTTGTGCCTTTATTGTCACCAACAACGGCAAGAACATTTACCAGGCAAGCCACAAACTGGCCAAACACTGCACGTCTAATCAGGCAGAGTCCCTGGCTATATACAGGGCTCTGCAGTGGATCCAGAGGAACACGACCATTTACAAGATTAAGGACGTTACAATATACAGCGACAGCCGGATGGCTCTGTTGCAGCTAAAAAACTTCAATGTTAAGCACAGCATTATCCATAATAGCGTGAGTCTTCTTCTCTCGCTCTATAGGGACATCAATATCAATTTCGCTTGGATTCGTGGCCACAGTGGGGTCTACGGCAACGAGAGGGCCGACCTACTGGCTCGCACTGCTCACACTCGTAAAGGTAACTATTCTTTCAAGTGTATTCCGTTCATCTGGCTGAAAAACGCCATCAGGAACTACTCTTGGTCCTCATGGCAAAATAGGTGGGACACTAGTCCCACCGGTAGGCTTACTCACAGCTTCATTCCGAGCGTCCGGAATAGGAGCAGCTACAAGCACTTCGTAACCACCTACCAAATCACTCAGTTAATCACCGGCCATGGCAACTTCCGCGGCTATCTGCGGAGGTTCCTGAACAAAACTGATGGCAGGTGCTCTTGTGTCCTTGGTGAGGAAGAAGACCCAAACCATATCATCTGGAACTGCCCGAACTTTAGGACGCCCAGAAATATCTTAATCAGGACAGTGCAAGACAACAACGAGTTATGGCCATGCCAGAACCACAGCCTAATCGACAACGCAAAGTATTACAAGACTCTTAAGAAGTTCGCCACCGAGATAAAAATATTGGACTAACCGCCCTAAAGTGGACTCTCTACTCTCACCCTCAAGGCAACCGGTTCCTTCAGGTAATTGGTTCCTGCTCAAGGAGTCTATAATTCTTCTCGCGTGTCGACACTGTATATATTAATCACCAAGTGTCTTTCGCGTTTATTTCATTATATTACATATTCTTTATTTTGTTAATTATTTTTCTAATTTCAATCAATTTTAATTTTAAATTTAATCAATTGTCGCGCCATATGGTGAAGCAATTTGTTTGTCTCGCGGTTACTTCAGCTTATTTTACCTCCTTCAACGGTATTAATGGCTTACACCATATGAGAATTCGACAAGTCTGTCGCGCGCTATGTTTATCATTTATTATCTTATCTAATTGTCGCGCCAATTAACGAAGCAACTAATTGTCCCGTGCTTTCGTCGCTTTTACAACCTTTGCCGGTCTTCTTACCCTATTTAATTGTCGCGCCATTCATCTTGTAAAGCTCCCATTCCCTGGGGCAAGTTTCTGTTATTCTCAACACTTCTTCATCATTTCAATATTGTACACTCGGCATCAATTTGCCTGTCTGTTATTGTCTGTGTCACAATTTCCAATCTCTATAGTATACCATTGTCACGCCACTTTTCTATGTATCGCTTGCTATGTCATTTTCACTGCTATTTGTATTTGTATTTTGCTATTTTATTAATAAATGCTGATGCAAGGCGCCCATGAGCTCCTAACCTTCAAACTTTCCTATCAACCTTTCATTCACCTTCACCTATACCCTTCGCACAACTATCTCTCCTTCTTTCCTTTTCTGGTTTCGGGGCTATACCTCTGAGTGCAGCCCGTCACCAATTCCCACGATGTCTCTCCCTATCACCAGAGGGCGACGAGTCGCGGTACCGTTAGGTTGTGTGGTGGTCAGCTCCGGTTTTCGATCGTCGCATCGGCGGATCTAAGGATTAATCGTCGAAGTGTAATACATCGTTGGATTCAGGATAACGTGAGCTCTCGTTTGATACCAATTTTATTTAATTCGGTCAACGCGTTTTTTAGTTACGGGCGCCGGAAATTTCCGACTTTCCACCGGCTTTTTCCGGGTGGTTTCCGCCGGGAGGTGGTCGTGTAATATATCGTTCTTTTCGGCTATTTACGTGCTTTCCGACGCCGTTGTCCGTTTTTTGATACGTTGTTTTGGTCGGGTAACCGTGTTGCACTCCCTGTCCTCCATTGCGAGGAATCACTGGGGCTACGGCAGCAGGGCCTGCCGTCTCATGTACGTCTCTGTGATAGAGCCAATCTTGACTTATGGCTCGGAGGTCTGGGGGACCTCGGTTGCCAAAGTTCATGTCAAAAGGAAGCTCCTTTCCGCCCAAAGACTTGCTCTGATCTCCATGACTAAGGCTTATAGGACCGCCCCCACGGATGCTCTATTAGCTATCGCCAATTTGATCCCAATTGATCTCNCCGGGTGGTTTCCGCCGGGAGGTGGTCGTGTAATATATCGTTCTTTTCGGCTATTTACGTGCTTTCCGACGCCGTTGTCCGTTTTTTGATACGTTGTTTTGGTCGTGTTTTACTGCGACCGAAAGTTGTTTCCGATCGGGCCGTTTTGCGGGCTTTTCGGGCCTCAGTTTAGGACTTCGCTCGGGTACTTCTTAGCTTACTCATTTTTCTACGTGTATCAAAATTTTCGTGTCGATATGTCCACTAGTTTTAAAGCTACGTCCGTTTTTAAATATTTGGAAAACAAAGGAGTATAAGGTCACTGACCTCTAGCACGTGGCCGGCTTTCTATCCTAGTCGACCCTAATTCGGCGTCATTTTTCGGTTATTTCTCGGGTTGTTTTAGGCGCCCGGTTTAGTGTTATATATCGTTTGGCAGGAAAATTTTCGCTCTATTAAGTTAGCCTATTAATTTTCGGGCTTCTTAAAATTTTTATCGAGTTACCGTGGTATTAGTTTATTTAATATCTACTAGTATATCTTAGTCTGTAGTACTTTTTAATGTGCCATGGAAGTCACAGAGGTTGACATAGACTCTTCGGCAATGGATTGTGAGGACCACTCAAGGCCAAACTCTCCTAATCGATCCATTATGATCGACGGCAATTTTAACACTATGGAGGCAAGACTTTTAGCTGAATCCAATCAGCACCTTCAAAGAATCATGGACCTTTTACCTCAGCCAAGCAAATCCAACCCCACTGTCACTGATAAGATAGAAATAAAGGAGAGGGTTACCTCCATGTTCGCAACAATAAACAAACTGTACGGCAGCTTGGTGGAGCTCAGGGCCACCCAAAGCGCCACAGTGGTGACCCAGTGCCAGTGTCGTCAGGCGCAACAGATGAAAAACCCATCATATTCTGACGTTGTCAGAACTAATATTCCAGAAAGCAAAACCATGAAAACTATAACCAGATCAATAAATAGGAAAGTTCAAAATGAGGGCTGCAGTAGCAGCTACGCACTAATAGTTTATCCGAAACAAACAGACTCTGGAAATGGCATAACCAACATGGAAAAAATACAAGACAGCATCATAAAAGAGGTAAAGCCAGATAAACTGAAAATTAAAGTAACCGCAATCAGGAAAGTAAAAGGAAATGGGCTGTGCTTTCGCACAAGCTGCAGAAGGGATGCATCAATACTGGAACAAGCAATACAAGGGCTAACAGAAATTGAACCGCAAATCAAAACTAGGGTGTCAGAGGGCAGGCGCCCAAGAATAATCTTACTAAATGTCCCAAACTCAGTTGAAGATAATATAATCATCAGCACACTACACGAACAGAATGATTTTCTGAGTGGGATTAGCAGAGCAGAATTCGAATCGGCTACTAGACTAAGCACTACCCTCACCAGAGGAAACACCAAAGAGAACTGCCGTCATGTAGTGCTCTCAACCACACCAAGTATAAGGAACCAAATAATAAAGGAGAAATACATCTCCTTATCATGGGCAAATATATTAACAGATGACTACGTACACATCACTCGCTGTTTCCAATGTTGTGGATACAACCATCTGGCACGTGACTGTTCGTCAAAACAATACTGTAGCCATTGCTCTAAGTCACACAGATTTAATGAGTGCACAAGAAGAGATCAGCCGCCGTGTTGCATTACTTGCAAAACGGCTAACAAGGGCCTGCCCCCAGAAAAACGGCAGCCCACAAATCACAATGCCCATGACCCAAAGTGCCCTCATACAATAAAAATAAGAGAACAAATAATCAAACAGACTAACTATGGGGACTAACCCTCAATTCGATAACCTTAAACTGCTACAGATTAATATGCAACGGTCAAAGGCAGCCTCCACGGAGGCAATGCAAATGGCCAACACTCACCAAGCTGACATACTGGTGGTGCAGGAGCCATACTGCCACAACAGGAAAATCACCCTCTTTGGCAATCTTAATATCTTTAGCCATTCGGACCCGGCTGTAGACCCACTGACGGGTATCATCATGATAAATAAAAACATCAACGCCCACCAGCTCACCCAGCATACATGGAAAAACTACACTACAATTATTATCAATGGGCAGGGTTCCGCCATGGCTATCATTTCTTTTTACTGTTCGCCTTCTGAGGATATCACCCGACCCCTGGAAGAGTTAGAAGAAACTATTCAACAACTAAAACAGATACCTATTCTTGTCGCCGGAGATTTTAATGCAAAATCGCAAATATGGCACAGCCCGGTGGAGGACCCGAGGGGATATAAAGTAATCGAACTAATCAACAGTATGAACCTCCGGTCAATGAACACTAGCACCCTGGCCACCTACTCCTCCTCCACAGGAGAGAGCTGGGTGGATATCTGCCTGGCAAACCAGCATTTAATCCCCTATAACATACAGTGTTCCACCCTCAGTGTTCATTCTGCTAGTGACCACTGGTACATTGAGACAACCCTCAGTGCCATCAAGGTGGTCAAGCAGCTACGGATTCGACAAAAGACGCAGTGGGATCACTACCAGGAATACATCCGGCACAACTGGGATACCGGCCCCCTGATCAATATAAACAAAAAGGAGTTGGAAAACACTATAGAAAGGATGCAAAAACTCATCCTTACTGCCTACCACAATGCAACAACAATAACCACGACAAAGCAATCAGCTCCATGGTGGAATAGGGACCTCGCTACTCAAAGAAAACAACTAAGAAAATCAAGAAATAAGTTCAGACGGGAGACGGACCAGGAAAGGCGAGAGACCCTAAGGCAAGAATATCTAATACTCTTCAGGAAGTACAAAACCTCCCTCTGTAAGGCTCGCTCTGACTCATGGAGGGAGTTCTGCTCGGACCTAGGGCGTAACAAGCCCTGGTCCACCCCATACTATATTGTTAGGGGCAAGGTGAAGAGCAGCAAAATCCCAAACAACTTCGAGCACAACATTAACAATGCAAGTACTTCAATAGAGGACACCTACCACCGGATACTTAATGACCTTTTTCCAGACGATGACACATCCACGGACGACAGCACACATGCTAAAATCCGGGAAGAAAGTGAATCTAGCCCTAACACAGGAGACGATAGTCAGTTTTCGTACAAAGAGATAGAGGCAGAATTCAAGAAACTCAAGCTTCGGAAGGCCCCTGGTCCGGACGCCATCACCCCTAAGATGGCAAAAATGGCATTTGAGGCAATTCCAACTGTCTTCTATGTAATCTACAACAAATGCCTACAATTGGCACTTTTCCCAAGCATATGGAAAATTGCCGCAATCAAACTCATCCCAAAGAATAGCAACCCTACTAATTCCTCTGACTACCGACCAATCTCCCTTCTCCCTGTACTGGGGAAGGTCCTGGACAGTCTGATGGTGAATAGGCTGGTCTATCATTGCGAGCACAATAATCTTCTTAACTGCAATCAACATGGCTTCAGGAGAGGGAAGAGTACAATTACAGCTTTGAGCAACATCGTGAAAACAATCAAAAAGCCAAAGGGAAAGGCGAGCACACCATGGTGGTTTCTATTGATTTCAAAGGAGCCTTTGACCACGCATGGTGGCCTGCCATCCTAAATTGTATAAGGGAAACTGGCTGTCCTGATAACATATACGCACTAGTGAAAGACTATTTGAACAACAGCAGCACCACAGTAAGCAACAATGACCAGTTTCATCTGCAGAGGAAAATCAACAGGGGATGCCCCCAGGGCTCAAGGTCTGGCCCATTCCTATGGAACATAATGTACAATAGTCTTCTAAACCTAAGGTCAACCTTCCCTGGGGACAACAACTGTAACATCCAAGGCTACGCAGACGATACCATCCTGGCACTATCGCACAGTAATCAAGAAGTTCTGCAGGCAAGTGCAAATGACATTTTAAAAGTCATCTCCAAATGGTGCCACAAGATGAAACTTATAATAAATTACGACAAAAGCAGCTGTGTGGTCTTTCCTAGGAAAACCCCCCTCCATAAGGGACCCATCGTCAAAATGGACGGCAAAAGAATAAAGAATAGTGATAATCTCAAATATCTAGGGATTATTATGGACAACAAGCTTACCTGGAAACTCCATGCACACTACGCCTACGAGAAGGCGGTCACAGTCATGCACTCCCTGGCTTCCATTGCAAGGAACCATTGAGGCTATGGCAGTGTGGCCTGCCGACTCATGTACGTAGCTGTTATTGAGCCGATCCTAACCTATGGGTCAGAGGTCTGGGGGGCCTCTATCACTAAAGTGCACATAAAAAGGAAACTACTCTCGGCGCAGAGGCTGGCTTTAATATCCATTACTAAAGCTTACAAAACCGCGCCAACGGACGCACTACTGGCAACAGCGAATTTGGTTCCTATAGACCTAATCATCACAGAAAAGTTTTGGAGCCATCAGCAACGCAGACTGGCCAACCAGACCATCAGGCAACAACACTACATCAATACAATGGGAAACATGGTGGATAGCACAGTGCTTAACAACATTTCCGACCACATTAACCGGTTTGAACTGGACCACAACCAACGGCAAGTATTTTACCATCCCACCTTCTCCCTCGACGAGCACTTCAACATGGACGACCCCGAAGTCTCAACTGACTTCAGGGTATATACCGACGGTTCTAAATCAGAGGACGGGGTTGGATGCGCGATGGTTGTCATGAATAAATCCACAAACATCTACCAGGCTAGTTACAAGCTGGCTAACCACTGCACGGCCAACCAGGCGGAGTCCCTGGCCATCTACAGGGCCCTGCATTGGATCCATAATAACTATACCTACTATAACATCAAGACAATTACAATTTATAGTGACAGTCGTGTGGCCTTGCTACAACTAAAAAATATGAACAACAAGCACAACATTGTGCGCAATAGCATCACTCTTCTCACTAACATCAGGAACACCACTATTAACTTTTCCTGGGTCCGTGGCCACTCCGGGGTCCCTGGGAATGAGAGGGCCGACCTGTTGGCCCGCACCGCCCATACCTGGTGCCACAACACTTCCTACGACCTCATTCCGCCAACCTGGCTTAAAAACAACATCAGAGACTATACATGGAAGGTCTGGCAGGAAAGGTGGGAAACGAGCCATACAGGCAGGATAACCTATGGCTTCATCCCGAATGTTCGAAAAAGAAGCAAATATAAGCACTTCATCACAAACCACAGCATCACACAACTCATCTCAGGACATGGAAACTTCCGATCCTATCTTCGGAGGTTCCTGCAGAAGACAGACGGAAGGTGCCAGTGTAACCTAAACGAGGATGAAGACCCGACCCATATCATTTGGAACTGCCCCCTGTACTGTAATGAAAGAAGACAACTAATTGAAACTGTTCAAAGCAACAACGATTTATGGCCTTGCCAAAGTTATGCTTTGATCGAAAACAGCAAATACTACAAGGCGCTCAAGGGCTTTGCTACTGCCATCAAAATTTTGGACTAATAACTCCGTCGCAGGGACCTTTGTGCCCCTTCTACTGCATATTGGTTTCAAGGTAAGTCATTTGCTCTGTATTAAAAATCTGTAAACATGTCCATTAGATCTCTCACGAAGGTATCAATTATTGTATCCTGTTGTGTAACCAGATACTATCAAATGTATTTTGTCTTTGCCATCTGGCACATGTACTAATTTGTATCCGTCATTTGCGGGTATTTTGTTCTGGTATCATTATCCTGTAAGCTTCTACTGGACGTCCCACACTGGTATCTAGGTATGCATCCTGTAACTTACTCGGTGGTGCCATTGTTTTGTCATTCCACATGTCACTTATTCAGCTATTTGTAATTGGCTCATGCTAGCGTCTGCTCTGTATTACTATGTAAGCCTCTTAAATAGAAACCATGTTTATTTATGTCTTTTCCGTATGTACAATGTATCTGCCAATTGTTCTTCTGGCAATGGCCACTTGTCAAAAACGGTGCGTACTGCATGGCATTTACAGGAAATGTCTTTTAACTGTAAATCAATGTATTATAAATGTATCCGGTATTTTAAATTGTAACCGCCACCAGGTTTTGTCATTGCTACTTAGCATCATTCAGTAATTGTAACTGTCATGCCAATGCCACTTAGACTGTACAATTAGGTAAGCTTCTTTATCAAGGTTCTAATATGGTATCACGCATGAAATGTAAATGTATCCATCACCAGCCAATTGGCATTTGTCCTGTATATATTATCTATTTTGGCATTAATTATGTTAGCATCTTTAATTGGTAGTCTATGTATGTATCAAATAGGGTATCATGTATTCATACTGTAACTGCACCAAACTTTTATTGTCTAGTACTGTCGCGCCATATTAATTATTGTAATTGTTCTAATTATGTGTTATATTTTACTCATTGTATGTATTATGTATGTATATGGTTTTTCTTTTAATAAATGCCGATGCAGGGCGCCCATAGATCCCTAACCCCCTTTTAAACTTTCCTATCGAACTTTCTTTCACCTTCATCTCACCTCTTCACATGCCTAACTCTCCTCCTTTCCTTTTCTGGTTTCAGGGCTATACCACTGAGTGCGGCCCGTCACCAATTNAGTGAATCTGACGCCGGCCTGCAAGAATCGCTGAACTCTATTACAGACATCGAACTTTCTTTCACCTTCATCTCACCTCTTCACATGCCTAACTCTCCTCCTTTCCTTTTCTGGTTTCAGGGCTATACCACTGAGTGCGGCCCGTCACCAATTCCCACGATGTCTCTCCCTATCCCCAGGGACTACAGCGACCATGCCGGCTTGGTCAAGCATCTAAAGCACAGCACAACCCTGCAGTTCGAGTGTAGTGCCTGTAAGATGACGCACGAAAAATTGAAGGCCATAAAAGCTTATCAGGCTCGTTCAGAAGCGTGCAGAACGAGCATTGAAGCTGCCACACCACCTCCTCTCCCCGCCAACAGGGTTAAGCGCTGCATCCCGTTACAACCGAGGAAGCGGTACTCGACCAAGAAACGTCGCCAGGAGGCCTCGTCCATGTCTGCAAACGACCAGTCTACCAGCAGCCAGTCGCCCCTACATCTAGAGCACAATCATCGAGGAGAAGACGTGTCACCCGCTCCGTTCAAGCATCGCCCGGCAATAGTGTGCCGCCCAACGACGACAAACTGCCCGCTGCTGCTTTCACTCCTACCAGCGAGACCGTCCAGGACAGCGGCGACCATGCGCCTACTTATCCGCCACGCCAAGTAGATCCGCCACCGTCTCCGCAGCCCCTACCTGCGGTACCACCAACTGTACCAGTCACACCATCACCTCCAAGCCCGCAGCCAACTTGCAGCCATGCCACTCCAGTGACTTCCAGCGCCCATGACGATCAAGCAAACATCCCATCCAACATCAGCCAAGGTAATAACAACGACCCTCCGTCGTGGGTACTTGCCTGGATGTCCCGCTTCGAGGCAGTGCTCGACGAGGACATGCTGGAGGGAGTCCTTAACGACTTCCTTTCACTCGTCCATTGGATCTGTGACATCCGTGGCCCTCAGCGCAACCACCGTCCACAGTGCAGTCAGCCTGCACCGACCAGCAACCAGACCGGGGTCGCAAAAGCCAGCAAAATTCAGTGCCTTTATAGGGCAAATCGAAAGTGTGCTTTCGATCGTATCATGGCTGGTACACCCCGTTACTGCCAGCTTGACTCTAACAGCATCTACCAACACTACAGTGGTATGTATAAGAAGAGGCCAACCATCAACCACACGGCTATCCCAGTAGACCCGATCGCCCCGCCAGCTACCAACAACCCATTCGACTCCCCCTTCTCGCCAACGGAAGTGGCAAAACGACTGACCAGAGGGCACAATACGGCACCGGGACCCGACAAGATCAGGTACCTCCACTGGAGACGAGTCGATCCACAGGGCCTGATCATCGCTACCATCTTTAATGCCGTACAGCGTATCGGGTACATCCCTCAAAACTGGTATACTTCAACTACAGTGCTAATTCACAAAAAAGGCGACGTCACCTCTTTGGGCAACTGGTGCCCAATTTGTTTATCGAACACCTTAGGTAAACTTTATTCAGCATGTCTTGCCGACCGCCTCCTGAGGTGGTGCGACGAGAACCAACGCCTCACCACTTCCCAGAAAAGATTCCTCAATTACCAGGGGTGCCTTGAGCACAACTTCCTGCTCAACACAGTTATCCAGAATGCCAGAAGAACCAACAAAGAGTGTTATATTGCCTGGCTAGATATAGCCAATGCCTTTGGCAATATCCCTCACGGCACCCTCTGGGAATCCCTCCGCTGGCATGGCCTGCACCAGGATGCCATCGCCACCATCAAACAACTATAAGAGGACACCACCACGTGTGTCAGGACTAGCTCAGGCCTCACCAGCCCCACTCAATACAATCCGGGGTCAAGCAGGGCTGCCCAATCAGCCCTCTACTCTTCATCATGGCCATGGAGCCGGCCATCCGCCACATTCGCTCTTTAGGCAAAGGGTACCCACTTCACAACCACCGCATCAGTGTCTTAGCGTATGCCGACGACGTCGCCCTCATCAGTGAATCCGACGCCGGCCTGCAAGAATCGCTGAACTCTATTACAGACTGGACCAACTGGGCGGGCATCCAGTTCAACAGCAACAAATATGGAACCCTCGCCGTCCTAGGTAAGCTACACACTGCAGAAGATAACACTTTTTTCATTTAGCAGGAAGCATTACCGACACTAGCGAAGGAGGACGCATATAAACATCTGGGGGTACCCACCGGCTTCTCTAGATGTGACACCGAGGAGGCGACTACAAGCAACATCGTCACGTCTATCGAGAAACTGAATGCATCCAAACTAGCACCGTGGCAGAAGGTGGATGCGCTCAACACCTTCATCATCTCAAAGCTCACCTTCTGCCTCACCACCAGGACAACACCAAAGAAGACGCTAGATCGTATTGATCGCACAGTCAAGCGCTGTGTTAAGCAGTAGCTTGGCCTTCCCCAGAGGGCAAGCACGGAAATTGTCCATCTCCCGTACCAACAAGGGGGCACCAAACCCCCCACCAGCCATCTTGCAGATATAGCACAAATCTGCCATGCCCTCTATTTCAGTCTAGGGACACCGACATCAGACAGATCTCACGCAGCGCCCTCGAAGACGTCGTAAAGCATAGAATTAGACGCTCACTTGACCCCAGCGACCTATGTTGCTACTTAAATGGTTCTATGGAAGAAAAGTTTGGCCGCCCGAGCAAAGATATAACATCAGTCTGGACCAGACTCCAAATGGCAACTAGGCGCCTAAAGAAGGAAATTGGCATCAGCTGGACGACAGGACCGGACGAGCTACCCACCATCACTGCTAACAACTGCCTAATCCATGCGCACGAGTGCCAACGTACTCTCTGCGGACTCCTAAAAGAACATTACCTCCAGAAATTAACCGCCAAACCGGATCAAGGCAAAGCTTTCAAAATAACATCAGCAAGTGAGGTAAGCAATCATTTTATAAACAATGGGCAATACACCAGATTTGCAGACTGGTTCTTTATACACAAGGCCAGGCTAAGCGTTGTGGCCCTTCGAGGCCACAAACGCTTTGGTAATGAGCCTAAAAAGTGCAGACGCTGTGGCTATCAGAGGGAGACTCTGGCACATGTACTGTGCCACTGTCCTGCCAACTTCCACCTAATCACGCTAAGACACAACGCCATCTTAAACCGCATAGTATCAGCATTTCGCCCTAAGGATGCCAAAGTCTACGTGAATCAGCGGATCCCAGGATTCAACAAGAACTGCAGGCCAAACATGGTGGTGGTACACGAAGCATCAAAATCTGCTACCATCGTGAACGTCACCGTTCCCTTTGAAAACGGCCCAGACGCCTTTCAATCAGCACGAGAAAAAAAACTACGAAAATACAACTCTCTTGTCCGCCACTTTCAACAACAAGGCTTCAACACACACATCAGCGCTTTCATCGTCGGCGCCCTTGGAGGGTACGATCACACCAACGAAGCCACCCTCCAGCGCCTTGGAATCAACAGGCGATACGCAAAGCTCATGAAAAAGCTCATGATCAGTGACTCTATACGGTGGAGTGCCGACACATACCGAGAACACCTAAACTCGCAAAGTCGACCAACTCGCCCACCTCCATGTGCACCACTTTACAAATGGTAGGACTCTCACATCTCCAATCAACATTGTATTCCACGTTGGCAGGCACATGTGCCCATGCCCGCGTTTGCTATTGTAAATATACTGTACATGTTTCGCGAAACCATTACTGCATTGTTTCCACTCAGTTGGCAAACTACATGCCCATGTCGCGGAACTTAGTTTATATTTCTGCCTATGTCAATCCTTAATGTAAATAATTAATTCTTAATAAAGGCTTTTTAATTCTGTTCTTATCAGCTTGATGATCTTCAGCTGCTGATCTTCTGCCTTATCCAAATGACCAACCGGATTTCGAGTCTCCTGCTTCCCGGCCTCGGTAAGTAATTTTTGGTTTCTTTATCTGTCCTATACTCCTTCCTACTTCCGCTGGAAGGGCGGCCTGCACTGTTTAAACGCACAGTGTATTCGCTGCCTGACCAGTAACCACTTTTCTGTCGTGGCGTGAACTCTGGTCACGACGCAACGTGTACTTCCTCTACTACACAGGCTTGCCTGAGTAGTAGATCTTTCTACTTCTTCCAGCCTCTTCTTGGTAGGCCGCCTAGGCGCCCCAGGAGAAATTTCCCGCCCTTTCCTTCTACTCTGTCTATCAATACTACACTTTGATCATGCCAAGTGAAACCGTACTGGTGCCACTCCATCCCCCTCATGGATGCAGAATATGCCTTCCTATACCGAGGGACTACAGCGATCACGCTGGCCTGGTAAAGCATCTTCGTAGGGAACACAACGCATCACTACTTTTTAAATGTAGAGCGTGTGGTGTAGTTACGGACAAACTTAAAGCGATGAAAATCCATCAAACCCGTTCCGAAGGATGCAAGGCAAGCATCGCGGCTGCTTCTGCACCTCCGCCCCTTCCTGTGGACAGGAAGAAACAGTGCATCCCCCTCAGGCCCAGGAAGCAGTATGAACGACGGAAGACCAGACCAACCTCGTCGCCAATACCTATAGCGACCGTTCGTCATCCAGCGTCCCGTCACCTACATCACCCCCCTCACAAATCCCGCCTCGCCGTAGAAGAACCACCAGACCTATTCGACCCATCTTAGAGGAAGACCATCCGATGGAAGCTTCTTCTTCTTCTTCTAGTTTTTTGGCACAAGAGCCATTTAGGCTAAGCTGCGCCAAAGCAAATGGTAAAAATTTTAAGACATCACACTAACGAACATAAGACATTATTACATAAATAAATAAATAAATAACAACAAATATATACAACAAAATAACTAAGCAAAAACAAGGTAAATAAAACTCGAAAATNTTTAATAATTCATTATAATCAGTTTTGTGTATTAATTTAATAGTTACACCAGACGAGTAAAAAATCCTGTACAAAAGAGAAACACATAAAAAAGCCGATGAATTCATTTATATTATGGAGCAGTATGCACAGGAAGAACTTTTGCCAGAGATTTCCACAGCTACCGAACAGAGAAGTCAGTAAGTTGATGGGCCAGAGTGGAAACTTCTCTCCGAAGACGAGCGACAGCCTTTTCTGCAAAAGGCTAAAGAATTGCGTGAAACACATAAAAAGAATTTCTCGAATTATAAATACTGCGCAGCAAATTCCAATTCAAACATTACTACCCCGCATGCCGAAGCTCCTTGTTCTTCATTCCAATGTGGGAACATCAACCAGCAAAGCAATGAACACATGTTTACATCAGCCAGCAATCTATTGGAGCCACAAGTGCATCTGGAGGATGAGCCACGAGTGGATCCGGAGGAGGCAGAATTGCAAGAATTTTTAAACACATTTAACATTCCAGATAACTGGGAATCAGAAGTAAACAGCGTCGATTTATCATTCTTAAATAACTTGTAAATTCAACCCTTTTTCAAAAGTTTTATATTAGTTTCATGTAGTATTAATTTAGTTTCATATTTAGACAAATGTTTACAGAAACTGGAGAATCATTACGAGAAATAATATAAAGTATCTGTGCCACATTCTATTCTATTGTATAGTACAGGGGTGAGCAATCTTTTTAATCCACGGGCCAATTTAAATTTTAAAATTTTTATGCTGGCCGTTAACATATAGAAGAATGCCCATTCATTAACATTAATAATTAAATATATAATGGACTGTAATCATGTCCGAATATGTATTTATACGTTAAAAGAAGCTTAGATTATATCAAGATTATACTAATACTTATCATTCTAGGCCTAATTATATTTCAATGGTCATTTATATATAATATGTACAAAATATGTATCATATGCAACTACTTTAAATATTATATTATAATCATTCAACATGTTGAGACAGACAAACACCAGGTAGCAAGAGTCAACACATGTAAACTTGATCTCCTCTCAATACCACAAGTAACAGGATTTAGAGATGATGATGATTCAAATATGTTTTTTTAATTATTTATTATTACTGTTTTGAGCTATCCAATAAAGCAGAATATAAGTAAAGAAAATTGGAAATTAATCTTATTAGTGAGCATTTTATATCATCATTCTTTCATGCTATAAAAAGTTTGTATTTTGTTTTATGAACAAATTTTATTAAGTTATTGAATAAAATTTGTTTTATGGCTAATTTTTTTATATTTGGCTTAATTTCTTCTATGTTTAGTGCATTAAGCTAATAATGTGTGTAATGATTTTAAAAATTGTTATCAAATACTATTCAGTTATCTAGCAGACTTTATCATGTAATAAATACTTTTACATAAAAATGAATGACTTTTCAAATACTCAGAATGTTGAGCTTTCTTATAGCAAAACTGATAGGATGCCATACTGTAACAGTGATATGTGATAATGATATGTTAAACTTTACACTAAACTTAATACAATTATAGACAAAGTAAACACTGTCAGACAGCATTAAAATCTTTTTTTTTTTTTAACTGTCTGACAGTGTTTACTTTGTCTATTATTGTGTAACAATGAGTCGTTCTGCCATAGTTATAGGATGTGCTGTTTATTAATGATTATTTGATACATTTTGCAAACAAAAGTTTTAATTAGTTAAAATTGTTAATTAGAAAAAAAATCTTTTTACAGATAGAATTGCTAAATTATTAAGATCTAGATTCTAAAATAAGATGTTATATTAATTAAAAAAATTCAAATATGTATTATTGTGACACCATCATAATACTGGCCACAATTTGTAATCATCTTTCAATTTAAAAAATCACATGACTTCTGATCCACTGAAAGTTTCAGGGCTTCTTGCCCTAAGCTTTCTATATCTGATCTTGATTTTCATCTATTTAACTCTGTTCTTGAAATTAATGAAGGACAGGTGGACAGATGACAATGGGAATGTTTAGGTCTGCAATCTGAAAATTGTAGCCAATAATTTATCCTGTTTTTAATCTGCAAAACTTTTGTTGTAAAACTACATGACTTCCACAAGGAGTGAAGAAACTAGTTATTTTTAGTAATAATAAATTCTTTGATAAATAATGTAATATGTTACAAAAATATAAATTTATTAAGTTTGTCCCTTAATAAATTTCTCAAATTTTATATTAATAAACTGGTAGAAAATTTAATCAAAGATAAAATGTTTGCTACACAATAAAAATGATTAAAATGAAGATTGAAAAATGATATATAGTGCGCGTATCGCTTCGCGTATAGATGTTTCCAGTTTTACTAAGTTGTCCGTGGTACTTCTATTCCTACGAAAGCCACTCTGATGTGGTGAAAAGTAGTTCTTTTCCTCTAGGAGGAACATCAGGCGTCTGTTTACCATCCTCTCAAAGAGTTTACACAGGCAACAACTTGTTAGAGAGATTGGTCTGTAATTAGAGTAATTCTTCTGGTCTTTACCAGGTTTTAGGATAGGAATAATAATTGATAGTCTCCAAGAGTCAGGAAAAGTATTTTCTGTCGATATTCTGTTAAACAGATACAAGAGATTAGAAAGGGAATTGTTTAAAAGATTTTTAATCATGCTGTAGTGAATTTTATCCGGGCTTACAGCACTATTCCCTGAGTGAGAGATCGCTGTATGTAGTTCTATGCTGGTGAATAGCACATTATATTCCTCATTAGATAAGGAGTGAAAGTTTAGACACTGTTTTTCACTTTGGGCTTTATAAGCCTGAAAATCTCTTGAATAAATAATATTGCTGGATAAAGTATAAAACGTTTCACCCAACGTATCAGCAATACCCTGTATATCGCTGATTATTGTGCCATTCTTTTCCAGCATGGACAGAGAGTGAAAAGCATATTTCCCATTAATTTTATGGATTTTATCCCAGACTGCTTTAGAGCTAGTGGAAGATTTTATGCTAGAAACATACTTCCTCCAAGAATCCCTTTGGCTTTGCCTTCTTATTCTTCTGGCATTTGCCTTCGCTTTTTGAAAAGCAATCAAATTGTTAGCAGTGTATCTTCTGAAAATTCCCCATGCTTTCTTTTGTGCTTTAAATGCTGCCTCGCAATTTTGGTCTCACCATGGTTTTGGATGTTTTGGATATCTAGTTGATGTTTTTCGCATTGTTTTATCAACTGCCTGAATAATACTGGAAGTGACAACTCCAACTGCATCATTAATATATGCAGTATTGAACACTTCCTCAATGATGTCATCCAAAGAGGAGAATGCAGGCCAATCTGCCATTTCAAGTTTCCAGCGTGGTGGACAAGCTGTTTCACAGCTTTCTCTGCCTTGATATTTTAGAAATATTGGGAAGTGGTCGCAAGAGAGTGGATTACATCCAACCTCCAACAAAAATGCTGAAAACAGGTTTTGGGTTGCTAATGATAGTTCAATGGCAGTGAATGTTCTTGTTGGGGCATGGAAATATGTCACTCCTCCAGTATTAAATAAATATAGTTGGTGATTACTTATAAATCTTTCAATGGCTCTGCCTTGATAGTTAATGTCGAGACTGCCTCACATCGGATTGTGACCATTGAAATCACCAAGTAAAAAGGGTGCTGGAATAGAGAAATGTGTTTGTTTTATTTTCACCAAGTAAAAGAAATGGAGTCGGGAGCTGTTCAACCAATGC